AAGAGAGAGAGAAAGAGAATAATAATATTATATATTTAGAGTTTTCTGCTTGCCACTTGTCTACATGAAGATCAACCAGTACTCATTGTTGTAGAGTGAGTTACTTGAAAAAGCCTGTATGCTACATAAAGCTATAGCAGCCTAACACATGGCCACCGTCACAACAGCAATCAAAGAAAGCATCAACAATTAAGAACCTCCTCTACTTCTGCAGAAACGACTGAGCCAAAACTTCAAAAAGATTACATAGGTAAAGAAAAAAGTATTACTACTGCTTAAATTACCTCTGCGTGTATGGGTGTGCTGAGAAACCTGTAGAGATTCTTATTGCAGAAAATAACATTTGGTAATTCATTACAGCTCATCTTAGTGCAGTAAAACTACAACAAAGACAAAATAAACATCAAATATACACAGTGTTCTGGTAGTAGATTTAAGTGAAGATGATGTGGGTATAATTAAGCCTGGTCTCAGCAGACTGGATGCATCAAAACAACACCATTGCAGCTACTGTACTGCTTCAGGCCTAAGGACAGTTCTGAAATTACTGCTTAGAGTATTACCACCAATATCAAGAGTTATCGTTGAAAATATGATCACATTCTCTGTGCTGACTGTTACATTTACCACTTTCCCTTATGAAGCAGCTGTGTGTGAATGGACATTTAAACTCTTTGTGTTTTTTACTCATACAAAGCATCCTTTACTGATCTATTGTATCCCTTCATTTACTATAATTTTTCTATTATCTGTGTTGATGATCCCTGATTAACAGAAGTTTTCGCTCAATGTCAGAGCAAAATTATTTGTCTCCTTACAGTTCTTGTACCCATCACCCCATTCAGAAGAGTTCCTGTAGCTAAAGAGTACAACAAACATTGACTGCTGCAGTTGTGGCACATGCAAAATCCCATGAAATTAAAAAAGTACCTCCCAGTTTTCAGCCTTACATGAAGGGATTAAATTTATGTTAAATGTATTCAGACATGGTTTCTGTGTTGTTCATCAAATTTGTACATGCAAATAAATAGCATATCATTCTCATCTGTTTTTGTGTGTGTTTATGAATTCTTAGTCTTATCAGACTCAACGACTTGTTTTGTGAGGTTTTGCTTTATGAATTTTGTATTATATTAAGTATGTATCGTTTTTTCGGATAATGGAAAATACATTATTAAAACTACTCTAGTACTAGTATACATTCGCATTATATGCAGTGAGCGTTTAAAATCTCTGGATTTTATACTGTAAAAATTTAAATTATTTTCTAAAGTGGGCATTTCCGGGTCTTCCGGCTAACTACCCAATGGGCTTGTTATTTGTCAGCGCGGTCTTTGATTGGCTACTCCTGTGACGTCATCGAGTCATCGTGTCGGCTGGCGCTTGAAACCCGCGGATTACAAAAACAAAATAAAACGAAGTAAAATAACAGCAGAACAGGTAAACTAATTGAGGAATGATTGATTGAGGATGGACTAATATTAGATATATCGTCAAATATTGATTTAGTCTTTACAACTTATTTTAGGAAAAGAAGAGACAAATAGAGAAAAGGGTGTTTCTTTGTAAAAACATTAGCAGGAGCTATCGCTAGCCAGGTACCCGGGGGAGGAAACGTTACCTTGTCAACTAGAGACAACTAAAACGGCTGTATCTATTATCAGCCGATGCAGCTGGAGAAGATAATTTTCACGTTGCGTCCCTACAGTTTGGGCGTATAATCTGAGACTGGAACTCGAGTAAGTCAAGGAAGATTAAAAAAAAACATTTTATGACAAAAACGAGCCTTTTTATTCGAACCTGAAAATCTATATGTACATGGTCGCGATTGCTAATTTACTGTAGCCGTATTGTTGTCTGTTTCAGCAGGGCAAGTCGCAGAAATGTCACTGTCGACCGAGACACGTTCTGGATTGAATCCGGGTCATAGACTCAAATGCGAAACCATCTGTGTGGTACCAGACCTTTCTTCTGTTCTCCTGGAAGATGACTTTGACCATAACAAATCATTCCCACACACTCGGAGACCAATGTACAACAGGCAACATTTGGCGCTGCAGCGTCGTTATTGTCCGGGTTCTTTGACAGGTAAGAATAAGCCCTGTTTTGTTGTGATGCAGCTCTTGTGACTAGTGATAATGATAATAATGATGACTGGATCCCCACACATCAAGAGAAGGCAGTCATAAAACTCAAATCCTCATTAACGTTGCTTAAGTTCTTTTAAAACTTTTAAAAATAAAATCCAAATCTGCTTCAAAATTGAGTTAATATTTAATTAAATAAAAAAAGACAAGGGTATTTTGAATTTTAACCTATTTTAATTTGTAAATGTTTTGAAGTTTCTTTGCTCACTATGACATATCTGATTTACTTAGTTTATGTTTTTGTAATTGATAATTAGGCTTTGGAACAAAGCTTTAAAGCCTTTGACATAAGAAGTTACAGTTACATCAACAGTTTAATTTTTTATTTCTGAAGTTTGATTTTGATAAGGTAATTTTATGTTAATACTTTCTATTTTATGTACAGGAGAACATTTGGATGTGTTCAGTTCTAACTCTGCACAAAATCATCAGAAATGCAGTCTGCATCGGGCCTCCCTAGTTTCTTCCATCTGTCTGCCACATCGATCTTCTCCTTTGGAGTCAGAGGAAAGCCTTTTCTCTCAACTGTCAGGAAAGTTTGGCCTAAAGGAATCTCCATCGGTCCTCAACCCAAACAAAGTCATTCTCACAATTGACCAAAAGTCCAGAGAGGTTAGAGTCTCATTAAACTGGCCTAAAGCCACAGTGAAACTCAGACATGGACAGAAAATGAAAAGGATATGTTCTTCTCTTTCAGATTCTGTCCGTGAATGAGCAGGCCTGCAGGCTGTTCGAGTACACCACTGATGAGCTGGTTGGAAAAAAGTTGGATTTTTTCATAAAGAAAACCAGTCAGGTCCTGGAACAAGCTTTAGAAGAGGATTTTCTGCTTGGTGATGGAACAGTTTCAGCCATGTGTGGAAAAGTGGTAAGAAATATGCAGACAGAAAAATAACAATAGAAAACTACTACTTAGTCAGATTTATTTTTAATAATGTACAAATAATTTTCTGTAGGTGGATGTTTTGACTCTCTCTGGAGAAGTGCCAGTGTCTGTGTGTACACACAAACCGTCGCAAGTGGAAGATGAATGTCTTGTTATTATGGAAAATGTGGAACGCTTGTCAGCCTTCATCTCCTTTTCACAGGATGTAAGTAAGACAAGACGTTGGAGCTTTGAACAGTGATTTGTCTGAAAAGATGTAGTGAATAATTATGTTGATTTTTGCTGTTTTGAGATTAATTTCTTACACCCTTGATGTACCATTAGGGCATCATCCTCAGCTGTGACTTGACATTTGCCCATCTCCATGGATATCAACATCCTGATGAGATAAAAGGAGTTTCCGTGAAGAAACTAATCCCATCTTTGCAAATACCTCTTCATGCCGCTCATGCCTGGCCTAAGGTGAATGCACGAAACCCTAACTGTCTCACTTAGGAAAAAAAGGTTTCTAAGCTCAGATTTCCATGTGTCTCCTAAACACTGTTTCTTATACAGGGAAAAATCAGATAAGAAATGTTATGGTTGATATACTTTTTTTTTTTGCTTTTATATTTTCAGATGCTACGGGTACAGAGACAGTGCGGTAAAGCCAGAAGTGGTGCGTTGGTCCCTCTATGTATCAAACTTCAGGGAGCAGTTCTATGCGGAAAACTTCAAAACCTAAACGACGAGACCCAATGCACATACTCAACAGCCTGTCTGAAAAACGTTTCACAAGAGCAGCAGTCTTTCTCCCCTCATTCCTTCCCTGTTTGCAAAACAGAGTTAAACTGTGAGCAACATAATGGAAAAGATCAGCCTTCAGGTAAGTTTAGTGTAAGTCTAAGCTGTCGTCCTTTGCTTGACCACAGGGGGTTTCAGTTCAATGTTTACAAGCAAATAACAGCTTACTGGTAATCCTGCCCCAACATCTATCATATTTAAAATGGTTGCAACCCTCTTTCCACAAACTCCCAACTGAGGAAAAAATGGTAAAAGTTACAATACTTTTCACTTACTCACTGCTGCTCTTAAAATGCTTTTAACCATGAGAGAGAAAAAAATAATTACTTCATATAATGATAGTGATAACAACAAAATTAACAAAAACTGGTGTAGCTAACATTTATTTTTCCTCCTTGTAATCTTAAAGCCCTGGACAACAGTGCTAGCCCCTTGAGCCCATCATTGGAATACTCTGGTACAGTTTGGGTGTTTGCCCCGTTGGGTGGCCTCCTCCTACTTTGCCCCAATGGTGTCATCTCCAGCATCCACAACCACCTGGCTCTCCGTTTGTTTGGCTACAGCAAACATGAGTTGGAAGGAAAAGTAAGACCAAAAAGACCTGCGTCAAAAAAGTCCCTTTGGATCGACTGAGTTCTAAACTTGAATTCCTTACCTGCTGGTTTGTCATTTACAGAGCGTTGCCTTCTTGATGCCTGGTTTCTATGAATCCATGAGGGACTCGGTCAGGAATGCGTGTCCATTCCCCAATTCTCGAGTAGAGGCTGCTAAAAGTACAGCCTTGTCCAAAATGTCAGGGAAAACTGGTGAGCACTTAGACGTTTGTTGTGTCAAAGGTAGTGATGAGTTGTCATTACTGGAGTTTGTTTGTTTGTACTGTGTGTGATTAATCTTACATTTGTTTCTAGATCCATCCTCACTTATAGCTGGAGATATGGCCATGGTTCAACAAGCTGTCCTGGACAGAACTCTGACAGGAAGAGGCAAGATCTTCACTGGCACCAGTACCAGACTGGACAAACAGGGCAGCGCATTGTCAACACTTTCACTTCCTGCAGTCACATCCACACGTGTTGTCACGTAAGTAAACCTTAACATGGGCAAACTTTCATATGTCACCTGTGTTTGACTTAATATATGCTGAACAAAATATTTTGATGAAGCACTTCACCTGCAGTCATTTGTCATATTTATCCCGAGTAATCATGACTAATTCTAAATAATTACAATTATGATTTATTATATTATTGATTTTAAAAGATGGGTACAACTGTCTTTTTGTAATGTCATTGCAGTAAGTGCATCTTTCATCATCACAGCATGTTGGTTTTAAGCTGTTCTGACCTTCAAGTGCTTTCCTAAAAATAATCATCTTCTTCCATCTGTTTCAGCATTGTTTAGGCTGACTGCCACTGGCATTGTCAGACTTTTGCACATTCATACCTTGGTTTCTTGAACGAACAGCTAATCTGCTGAGCACCTGGATAGCAGCACAGACTTTTGGCTGTCTTTGGTAATTAAATTTGGCCTTTTTGTTCTTTTCTTAGTGCTGACGACACCTCCGAGCTGATGGCAGAGGCAGCCCAGGTTGCTCCTTGTTGCAGCCATCTAGAAACCACAGGAAGCACTCAGGCGCTCCTGAAGACATTTGCATGGGTGGAACCTCCAGGAGACGACACCTGCTGCCCCACTGTCTATGAACCAGGGCAAAAAGACCCTAAACAGCAGCTCTGTAATGGAACACAGAAGAGCAATAAACCCCCAAACCCCGTCAACATTGATGTCATCACAGGTGAGACATTGAGTTCCCATTGAGTTATTTTGCATTGAAATGTGCTGACAATGTTATGTTCTCTTCAGAAAATCAGAGAGGACATGCTGTTTGTGGGCAGGATGGCCCCTCCCCTGAAAGAGATAAATGCCCAAAATCATGTGCCTCTGTCCTGCAAGACTCGAGCTTTGAGGTCATTTCAATGGAAAGCAGGTGAGAGAAGAAAATATGATTTGTTTAGTCATTAAAAGATCGATTTTTCTCAGTGGATTTTGGATTAGGAAGATTAGGAAACCAAAAATTTCAAAATAAATGTGCGTTGGCCTCCAGGTCTCAGGCGGTTTTCTGGTCCATGCAACGATCATCAGTATTCCTTACATAATTATTAACAAAAACACCATCTTGTTCCTGCTGGACCAGTATTTGACCCACCACTAAAATAAGTCATAATTTCTCTGTAATGATCCCCCACATTCTCTTGAGAAACACCAATATGGGCGAGTGTGGACGAACATGATGTGTTGTAATCTTTGTTGATTTATATCCCCAGGTCTTCCTCTGGTTTCTGTGAAAGGTTTGCTGGTCATGGTGTATCTGACCCAGGTCAGGGAGGGTCTTGCGCAGCTCGGTACACGGACGACTCGGCGAGCTGCTTCCTGGACATCAATAGCAACGGAGACCTTGTAACGAGGGCACTGGCAGAGCTGGACCTGAGCAGTAGTGTGGAGCTGCTCAGTGGTGTAGTTTACAATGATGCCAATCAACACTCAACAGAGATCCTGCAAACACCTTCTCCATGCCGGGTCAGTTTTGACCAAAATGCAGAGCCAGTTGAAGCTAAAGATGCTGCTGTTGAGGACAGAAATGATTTAGGTGAAGAACGGCAAAAGGACCCGGGCGAACAGGACCCCTGGGGAGGAAAGAGGGGGGAGTTCTGTGGAGGAGTTCTGTGTTCAGATTAATGGCAGAATTCAGACGCTGTCTGAAACTCCTACAACGTCGACACCTAAAAGACAGAACAGGCAAAAACTACCCTCTGACAGAGCAGAGATACATGAGGGAAGATTCAAAGGAAATGCCTACCACAGAGATGGCACCAGAGTGGGTTGGTACAATTAAGTGATTCTGATATATTTATTGATTTTAAACAGTTGTTTTAGGTTTATGTTGTGATGAAATCTCATTCTGTCAACAGATGTGCAGTTTGATGTTTGTAAAGCTAAGCTTGAAGACAGCAGCTCTATGTTCTGTGTTTGGATAAGTAGACCTGGTCCACAGACAGAGTCACTGCTGCACAGCCAATCAGATGCCAGTCTAGGAGAGGTCAGTGGTACACGACAATCTTGAACACTCACCTTTAACTTTTTTGGTTTGGCTAATTATTTTGTTGTTTGGTGGTTTGTTTGTTTTTTTTGGTCAGAGAATTTGTGAGGCCAGTCATGGTGAGGCTTTACGGTCCACTTTGGACTTGGACCAATCTCGAGCCTGTGATGGACAGTTTGAAGAAGATTACCAGCCTATCAAAGCTGTGGGTAAAGGAGCCTTCGGTTTTGTCTGGAAAGCAGTACGGCGTTGTGATGGACAAGAAGTAAGAAATACAGTTTATTTTAAAAAAGATACAAGAAGTAAGAAATACAGTTTATTTTTAAAAAAAATTTAGTCCTCCATATAAATATTTGAATGCCTTTGGTACAGGTTTGGGTTGTTTTTTTTTTAACTTCAGGTGGTAGTGAAGTTCATCAGTAAAGCCAGGATAGTGAGCGACTGCTGGGTGGATGATCCCATGTTGGGAAGAGTCAGCCAAGAGATTGCCATACTGACAAGAGTACAGCACCACAATATTGTTAAGGTAAATTGGTCGTTAAACAGCGTCATCACTGGTTCATTAAATCTGACAGGTTTGTTTTCATCACATTCATGTGTGTGTGTTATTAGGTTCTCGAAGTGTTTGAGAATGGAAGTTACTTCCAGATGGTGATGGAGAAACATGGTGACGGTTTGGACCTTTTTGAGTTTATTGACATGCAGCCCAGACTGGACGAGCCTCTGGCCAGCTACATCTTCAGACAGGTGAGCGTGTTCTGAGGAGAGGAGCTGCACGAGAAGGTGAAGTGTTGATTGACCTGTGGTTAAACTGGTGTTTCTCTGTGTTCCAGTTGGTAGCCGCTGTCTTCTATCTAAGGACTAAGAACATCCTTCACAGGGACATTAAAGATGAGAACATTATCATCGACAAGTGTTTTCACATTCGACTTATAGACTTTGGCTCTGCGGCAATGATGGCTCCCAGGAAACTTTTTTATAATTTCTGCGGCACACTTGAGTACTGCTCACCAGAGGTGCTTCAGGGAAATCCGTGAGTGTTAAACTGTTCTAAATGTCCGACAGAGATCGCTGTGTCATTTGTCCCTTTTATAACAAATGAGCAGAAAACAGATTACATCTATTAAACATAATAATCAAAAACACATGTACTTAATTATTTAGCCAAAATAGGGAAAGTGTTTGAAACCAGATGTTTAGAGAACAAATACGAACTTTCTTACTGTAATAAATGTCCTCCTACATGCACTAACACCCAGCTTGCTTTGATAGTTTCCTCCAAACAATCTTCATTTACAAATTGAACATCATGTGCTAGAAGACCTGAGACCATAAACCCCTCAGGGAAATGTTTACTAAGGTTATAAATCCATTGACTGGGTCCATTAGCGAACACTCTGCTCTGCTTTCTATGCCTCTTTCTTTGCTTTCTATTTCTCTAGCTTGTTCTACTTTTCTGTTGAGCTGGTGAACATTGACTGATTATTAACAGGAAAGTGTTTTTTAAAATTTAACCCTATTAAAATGGATAGCAAAATTAATCTCAGTGTTGTTTCTAGTCTTGCAAACACTACATGTATTCTGATTCCATCTTTTATGCGTTGTACAAATTGTCAAAACTCACTCTCTTATTTTTGTAGCTATGAGGGTCCAGAACTGGAGCTGTGGTCTCTGGGAGTTTTGCTCTACACACTGCTCTTCAGCGAGAACCCCTTCTGTGATGTGGGGGAAATCTTGACGGCCAAACTCAAAACACCATTTCCTCTCTCTCCAGGTACAGCGCTGATAATATTTACTTTTGGTATAAAATGTTACATCTGCCTCTGGAGAGGTTTAACAAATATCCGCCTGTGTGCCATTTAAGATCTCAGTGACATGTTATATGGAATGCTCAACCCCGATCCGGTTCAGAGGATGACCCTAGATCAGCTGCTGCTCCAGCCCTGGATCAGTCAGCCCATATCTCTGGCAGAGTACAGCTGGGCAGAGGTGCTTCCTGCAACACAGAGTTTATGTAAGTGCTTTTTACAACCATGGAATTACCATTCCACCTGTTGCTGGCAGTTATCTGTTGGTTAAATCTAAGGATGTTATTTATTTTTATGCCCACTCTCTTTACAAACAGGCTCACCACAGCAGCAGGAACCAAGCCCTGATGTTTATAAAAGACAAGCCTTGTTCCCAGATCATGGTGACGAGACTCTGCCTGATGATGAAGAGGAAGACGAAGATGAGGATGAGAGGTTGTCCAGGGCTGCCCTGGAGATGGAACTTCAGAAGTATCTCCATGACGACTAAAGTCCAGAATCAAATTTTAGCATTTGATCTGCGGTAGTGCAAAATTGACATAAAAAGCCAAATTAGGTTGAGATGAAGCTTTTTGTACACGATGTGCCTTTGTCTTTATGAAGTATACACTCATTGTTTTAATAAGAATTATCCCTTACTGTTATGTTATTTGTCTAGCTGCTACAATGTCAGAAACTATTTTCAGTAACTAAATTTTCAGTGCAATATGGGCACACATAATATAGCACTATATTTTCCCTTTATTATTTGTTTTTAAATCTTTCCATTTATTTATTTTTTTCACATTGACAACAACCTAAGCCTGACAATGGTTTCTAGTAATCCAGAATAACTATCCTTAACAGTGTGACCTCCAACTTGTCTCCTTTTTTGTAGACAGATCTTTCTATCATTTTGACGAATATATTTACTGTTACATATTTTAATCATTTATGTTCAAAGTTTGTAAGTATCTTTACAATATTTTAACTATTTTTATACATCAATAAATATTCATATCATAATTTTGAGTTTCTTGGTAATGTTTTTTCACTTTTTTTCTTTACAGTATTTATGAATATATGCTCATAAATGCAGCTGTCTAAGACATCATATGATTGATGACAATTAAATTCAAAATTAGTGAATATTTTCAAATAAGGTTGTATTCCATGTTCATGAAAAGTAAATCATTTGATATAGAATTTTAAAATGTATTGAATAGACAACAATGAAACTTTATTTTCTCTCTTTTAAATAAACATGAATATATGCGGCATACACTGCTGATAAACTGTTCCGTTATACTGTTTCAATATTTATTCTCTAAATAAAATGTAAAACAAATGATAAGAAAAAACCCGGAACCTTTAATCTTTTCCCTTTTCGACTACGGACCTATTTTTCGACGGACAAGCATGGGAACCACCTTTGCAGCGCGACGGGTAAAACAAATGATACTGACATTGTAAAAATAATACTGTTTTGGTTTTGTGGATAGAGTCTTGTGATGGAACTTGTATGCCCTTACCAAACGTTTGATGTAGAACTAAAACGAGACAAACTGAATAAAGGACGGAAAATAATGATCGGATTATTTGACTGGACCAGAATATATTTACTTTTCGATTGAACATTAAAATTGTTTTAACAGAACTTCTAACCAGAAAATACAATATAATTTATTTGTTACTTCGCAAATCTACTTCCTGTCGATCTGCAGCCGAAGTTGCATAGTTCACATGTGCAGTTTACTGTTATTATGTGTCTAAAGGTTCTCAGATGGACTGTCAGAACCACCATCGCCTCCTCTCTATTCAGCCCACTACAAGTTGGAAGATCTTGTCTCATCCAGCCGCGTTGCCTCGGATGTGGACTCCTCTGTTCTTCCACTAACCAGGATATTCTGCAGTCAGGAAGACATTTGTCCAAAGTTAGCCATGGTTCTGGAAAGCCAGTGCCAGAGCTGTCCCTGCAGTCTTTGATAGATTTGGGTTTCACAGAAGAACAGGCTGTCGAACTACAAACAGTTGCGTCCAAAGTAAAAGGAAGAACTGTTGCCAAAAATGCTCTTCCAACCCTCACAGCCCTGTTACTCCTCGGGTTGAATTCTGCAAGTGTTCAGAAGATTCTGCTAAAATGTCCTGAACTGCTCACTGTGACAGATTCACAGGTGCAACAAAGCGTTGCCAACCTGAGGAAGCTAGGTTTTGTGGAAGGTAAGATCACCCTGATGGTTATGTCTTAGTTAACTAGGATGTATTCAGTTAGTACAATGACAGATTAGATGTATCAACACTTACTACTTACTTACTACTCCAATGGTCAATGTTTTCTTGTGAAAATCTATTGCAATTTTTATGTCATGTTCTGCATGATTTGACAACACTATTTATTATGACAGCACTTGTATATTGTGTTGAGAGATTATATTACAAAACACTCAGCCGTTACGATGTTCGGGATTGTCCCTTAAATGGGTCTGTCTGAATATTAATACTTTAGCTCTGTCAGATATACAGTACAGGTAAAACCAAACTAAACTTTTTCTCTGTCCCCTCTCAGGCAGCCTTCAGAGAGTTGTGGCTTATTACCCCCAGATCCTGACTGTGTCTGTGAAGGCACTAAAACAGATGGTGATGTTTCTCAGAGAGAATTGCTTGTTTACTGTTCAGCAGCTCAAATACATCCTCAGGGACACACCATCAGTAGTCTTGGAGGACCAGAGAGACGTGGAGTACAAGTTTCAGGTCAGCAAGTAAAATCAGAAGGGGAAAAAATGAGGTTCGATCTGTTAAATTTGGAACTAACCAGAATGTCATACACAGCCATTTTATTTTGTTATGCTTCACTAAAATTGTATAGTACTGGAAACAAAAATAGTTTGGAACTTAAAAAATGAAATATTTTTTTTATTAAAATAAATCATTTATTTACACAAATGGCAATAATGGTATTTTCTTCCGTTATTCCACAGTATGTCTACTTCAGAATGGGTATCAAACAGAAGGAGATGATAAAGGCCAGGTTGTTCAGTTACCCTCTAGATGAGATTCGCTGTCGGCACCTTTTTCTGGAGCGCAGGGGTCTGTACCAAACCCCCGACAAGAAGAGACAGACACTCATCATTAACCCTACACTGAACAGAATCCTTCCTGTCAGTCAGGACACCTTCATCACCACAGTTGCCAAAGCATCTTTGGAGGAGTATGAAGTCTTTCAAAAACTAATGGCCAGAGAATGGCAGGAAGAAGAGTGGGATTATGGCAGAATTGAAGCTGATGATGATGATGATGATGATGATGATGATGATGATGATGATGATGATGATGATGATAAAGGTGAGGAGACTGCTGCCAAGAGTCAATACAAAAAGAAAAAGAAAAGAAATAACATATAACTGACATTTATTTAAATTATTTCATGGAGAAATTGGGTAAATGTATAAAAGATGTTGTCTTTAAATGTAATAATAAAATGTTTTATTCTGCTGGGTGTGGACTGCTGGCTCATAATGAAGTGCTACAGAAGATTCTTATCTAAAACACACACACATGGAAAGATGATGATTCTCTTTAGGATGTAGCTGTGGTGTCAGAGATTGTTCATTGTTATGTAACTCAAAGTCACAGATGGAGAAACAAATGTTTCAACAGGAGATGAATAAGAAAGCAAATGTGGATTTAATCAAATTAATTAAGTTGGTGTCAAATCTTAATGTGTGATAGAACAGTTGGTTGCAAAAGCCCCAGCCTGAAGAGGATGAAATGCACTTCCACCCTGTCACTATGTAACGACCAAGAGGCTGCGGTTTTCTCCATCCACACGGGCTGTGTGAGTCAACACACACACACACGCTCACGGCGTCAGATAAGGCCCAGCGAGGAGGACAGATCACACATTAGACTCATCGATCCATAGGAGCGCTAAGCTTTACACGTGTGGAACTACAACAGCCGAGAGGTTATTTTCTGGGCATGCGGTAAGAAAACGCACCTTTGGCAATCGATGATAAGTCGATATACACGTCCATGTAAGGTTTGAACAGTTCTTGTTATGTTGGCATTTTGCACAACTAATGAGCAGCTGCTGTTTGTTGGTTGTACTAAAAACTAAAAACTGAATCAATCACATCAATGTTAATACATATGTATCATCTGTACAGCTGTACGCACATTTTTAAAGATATGATAGATTCGTTGTTCACTTACATAGTCTTTTACATTTGCTGTACACTGTATACATTTTGTTTATTTGAATTTGAATAACAGCAGACCCAACGAGGAAGAGGTCATCTGTGTTTTGTTTGTATTACTAGGTGGATAATCTGTCTCTTATATGACTCCAGGTGAAAAGGCTCTACAAGGCAACCAAAGCAGTTCATGAGAAAAGGTTCCATGTTTGTTTAGCCTGCAATTCATCAAGATTACAGGTGAGAGAAAACTAAGTGGATGTTTGAAGGCTATAATTCAAGCTTGTCCACTGCTGGTATTTTCTTCTTATAGATACACAACTGTTGGGTTACAAGGCCTTCTTTTAGTTGCTAAGTATTGGAGGTATTGAATGTTGTTTTTTGACAGTGAACTCTTTGTAGGGTTTAATACAGTATAGAAAAATGCTCAAAAGATAATGCAAAATAGCATTAGCTATGTGGCTCTGGAGCAGAGGAATTGTTTTGTGTTGTTATTGTGTTATGCCATGAACATAGCAAAACATAATTTACATAAAATAACAAACATAAAAACAACAATTTACATTTTTTGTCACAAATTATATTTCAGCAAATAGAGAGTTTAAATGCATGATTAATATATCTGTAAAATCAATAATATATGAATCACATTTGAGAAAAATACTGAACAAAATACATTTATATAAATAAGCTTTGTAGTTTTGTCTTGACTTTAAAATGATCAAAATGATGACGTGTTTTTATAAAAAAAAATTACTAATAATTGTTTTTCAATCCACAGGAAACTGCAGGCGGAAGTGACTCATACAATATAAATACTATCAGCATATCAGTTCATCTGTGTCTCCATATGAGAAAAGGAAAATGTCATCCACCCATGTGATGTCCAACCTGACAGTGGAGTGGGTTGACATTCTGAGGAGGTGGCACCTTCAATATTTTTTCATCCCAACTGCCTTCGTCACCTTCATCACCTTGCTAGTTGATCCCCTCCTCCTGACGTGCATCTTTCGGTCCCGTGCTCTCCGTCAGGAGACACGTTACCTGCTGGTGGCCAACACTCTAATGGCAGACATGCTCTTCCTCATCCTTAACCTGGCCACCATACTGTGCAATGTTCTGACAGCACAGTTACCCTGGATTGTGTGTGGACTGGTCACAGCTGTCACTGTCACTGCCTACTGCTGTGCCATCCTCACTGTCACCCTGATGGTGGTGGACACCTACACCGCTGTCCGCTGGCCCCTCCATTACCATGATCTCCTTCCTCCTGCCCGTACCCACTGTATACTGGCAGGAGTGTGGCTGCTGGCAGCTTTGTACCCTTTTACCCTGGTGATAATGATGAAGCAGAGGGACAGTTTCAACGAGACGCTACCGGTTTGCCTGGCCCTGGTCTCCCTCGGCCTCATTCAAATTGAGATAGTTGGGATCCACATCTACTTCTTTGTTGCCGCGATGATTTGCGCCATGCTTATTTTTTACTGCTACATTCGACTCTACATGGTGACAAGGACTCAGGGCATCTGGCAGAACCGCTTCTCCAGAGCCCGGGTTACCCTGCTGGCACACGGGCTTCTGCTTCTGCTATACTTTGCCCCCGGCTTTGTTTTCACCCTGGAGCTCTCTCTGCTCCAGAGAAATGACATAAGTCAAGATGTTCAAGTGTGGATCAGCACAGTAAATATGTGTGTTTTAATGTTGCTGCCCAGAGCCTTCGCTCCATACCTCTATGGACTGAGGTACAGGGAAATATCTGAAACTGTCATGCAGCTGCTGTATCGAAACAGCAGGTCTGGACAGTCCACCGTATCATGAATGTTTCACCAGAAATGTCAGTAAAAATTAATTCTCTGTGTCATTACTTTAACTGCAGGTATTTAATGGATGGTACAAAAAGCTGCTCAAAACAAAAAAAAAACAAACTCTGATCACAAAGATCTCTAACACTGCCTTCGTCCAATGACTTCTAGAATTGGCTCCAATGCCCCCTTGGCCCTGGGGGATTAGGAAGGAGAGGATGAGTGGATGGAGTGGGATAACAAAAACAAAAGTAACCCAATCATTGAAACCTTTCTGGGATATGGCTTGTTATCAAAATTATTTGTGAAATAATCATTTTCAGTTGCTTCTACGCTAATGGGTTACCACAATAAATCCTCCTCATGTTAGAAGTGTTTACTATTAAAAACCTCTATATTTAACACATTAGCACACAGCTGGAATCACACCTTCACTTTTGCAGATGAAAAACAAATCCCTATCAGGCAAATTCTGGTCTTTCATATTAGTTTTCTAGCAGTAAGAAAAAGCAGACAACATGTAAAGGAGTGACGCTAACATCCCCTGACAACATGTAAAGGAGTGACGCTAACATAACTATAACTATGTAACTATATTTACAGTACCAAACATGGATGTTTTTTGGGGTGTTTTTTTTTTTCTTTCTCTTTTTCGAAATGTTTTTCTGCTCTTCTGTTCAGTTGACTCACTGTTTCATTAAAAGCCATTACATTTGTAAAATAAAAACAGAATCCCCAGACACATTTTATAGTCACTGTGTAATGAACTGTCCGAGCTGTTCATGTTGATTTGGCATTTTATGACTGCAGTAACAAAGCACTTAACTCCATTTACTTTTGAAGCCTTGTTTGTATAAAAGTGGTCTGTCTTGAGGAAATGGCCATTTGGCTCGGAGGCATAAGGCAGAGGAAAGAACACCTCATTCAGGAGGGTGTGGTGTATGTACTGTCATGAGTCATGGCTAAAGGGAGGGGCTTTTTGTTGTTGTTTTTATCTCTCTTTTAGCCATGCGTCAACTGGAACTAATACAGCAGCTCAACAGCAGAGGGACACATTTCACTGTGCAACTGTGCACTGTGCTCTTGCCCTCAGCAAACAGAAGTGATATTTCCTGCATGCATGCCCCAACCCTCTGCTCAGAGGCAGACAGGTAAATAATTTCTACAAGGGCGTCCATACTTTAATGAGCAGGGGTCAGATTTCAGAAACACCCACTACAGGCCATCTGCTCCTGCTGTGCCGCTCATGCATGTTGTACTAACACTGACGATGTCGTAGAAGTTGTACTGTGGTGAAGTGAGCTTTTGAATCTTTTTTTTTTGTGGAAATGATGTCTTGTGTGTTTTTAACAGAATTACTTTTCACATCACATGTTCATGATGTTTGCGTTGCTTACGTGTTTTTCACTCTTTTCCTCAATAGAGAAATGATGGTGCTATCAGTGATGCATTATCACATTGTGGACTTTCCTGTTATTCAGACGACAGGTGATAGTCTTGTCTGCCACACAGATTTACTGAAGCTGAGCTTCAACAGGATTTAATATGCTCCTCTGCTACAGGAATGTATAAGAAGAAATTCACATCAGATAATCTATTTCAAACAGTAGATTTATAATGAACTAGTTAGTATATTGTTTTAGCACATGTGTTACTAATAATAAATATACACTGTTTGTCAGTTATGTGACATTTTAGAAAATCTCAGTTTCCTTAGCTGAGCTTCCTTGAGCAGAAAAGACCTCACTGATGCAAATGCTGGCTGACAGATATTTTAGGACAATGATTGTAGATAAGAGTAAGCTTTATCTTGCAATGGAAAGCTACTATGTTATAGTTTAAAATGTTTCATCACCAGTAGCAGCTATGTGGCCCTACCTTATTACATTAGGTAAAATTGAGTCAGTTGAGCCATGTGTCTACGAGTGATGTCACTTCATTGTCTTCTAAATGTTTGCTGTCCTAAACCACAAAAATATTTTGCATTACAACAACATGGAAAGATATCCTGCCCTGTGTATTTTTATGTATTTAGTAAACATTGCACAAGACACAGACTTTTTATAGGATAAAATATTTCACCCAAAGAAAATCTGTTATAAATAATATTACTACTGAATATAAAGTTTTCACTTTTAATTACATTTTACCTGAATATTTTTGTTGTTTTGCTAAATTATTGTATGCTTCACATTCTGTATTTATTGCTTTAATTTGTTTACATGTGAATATGAGCTACTTGAGTGCCTGCTGAAAGTGATATTTTAGTTGACAGGTTGGTTAAACGTATGAAGCTATTCTGTGCTCTCTGCTAATGTTTAGCATTCCCTAAGTACCCATTGAGGTAAAACTGCCCAACTTGCATTACATTTGTATTGTCTTTAATTATAACCAGATGTATCACAGTAGCAGCAGTTGGAGATTGGGTAATATGGGCCCCCTTTGAACAAAGTTAGCTCAAACGTGTGTTAACTCAGAAACGTTTGACGTGTGGTTGCCCCCTTTGAACAAAGTTAGCTCAAACATGTGTTAACCTCCTCAGAAACGTTTGACGTGTGGTCCATTTCGTAGAAGTTGGGAGCTCTAGGAAATATTTGTGTAAAGGGGTAAGGAAGGGCTTTATTCCCCCCGAAAAAAGGGAAAAAGCTCCTCCTTTTCTTGGAAAAAAACGTGTCTTCTGTCCTGCCTTCACGTGTCCGTAAAGGTTGTTGTTGTAGCCGTACTTGGTATCGATGCCTTTATTTACTGATTTGTTCTAAGCAAGTGGTTTTGTCAGTGATTGTTTACTTGCTAACGAAACAAAAGTAACTTGGATTAGAGTCTTTTAATTCTACAGACGACGGTTCCCGTCGTTTTAGGCTATAGAGCGTGTCACTAACTGTTCCCATAAACCGATGTAAAAACTGAGATGTTGTTCTGCGAACGTTGCCCAATCACTGTCACTTCTTGTTTTGAAGTATTTCCCCAACTTAAAGTTGCGTTTGTTTGCAAACAAAGAACAGCCACGTGGAGAACTGAAGCTGTCTGGGAAGTGTAGTGCCATCTGAATATTAAGACCAGCGCGTAGGCACCATTTAGACTTCAATTCCCACAATGCAACAGCAAAACGATGTCAGACGCAGTCGGCTGATTTTTTTTTTCTCTCGTGACAAGTATATATGGCTTCATTGTTTACAGTGAGTTAGTTAGAGGTCTTTGTTGTTGTCATTAACCCGGAGTCAAAATGCCCCGGCTGTGTACCAGCCTGTCGTCTGTATCTTAACTCTTTATCACCACAGCTTTGTAAAAACAGCTTTTTAAAACTTTTCAGCACACGTATTTTTTTTTTCCAGTTACGTTTCCTCTATTTTTAACTGCAAGGGAGACTTCACGGGTACATCAAAATAAGGTAACAATTTATTTCCATAACAAAACCTATTTGTTGTTTGCTGATAAAATGTAAATTTAGTTTTATTTACAGCTGTCCAGTGAATTTGTCAGCCTGGTTGTGTTATTACCGTGCTCACAGGGCATTAGCACAACACTATTCTTTGTTTGTGCAGCACGCGTGTTTTTACCTGTTGTGACCTCGTCATTATCGACTAATTGTTTTTTTCTTTTCCAGTATTAATAATTTTTTTTTAAGTACGAAAAGAAATCGAATATAAGGCTGCAACTAACGGTTAACTTCATAGTTGGTTAACGGGACGATTATTTTTTAATTAGTCTACCGGTTATTTTGTTTATAAAGCTGTTATCACTCAGTGTTACCTTGTTTTGATTTAGTAAAATATATAAATATATACAAAAAATAATCAAAATTATTTATCTTTTTATTTTGTAGTAACCACCTATTCAAAATTTGTGCAAGTAGCCTGTCATCAAAAGAAGGTGATAAGTAGTTAAATAGTCGAAATTCATCCACCAATCAGCGTTGTTATATATGTTGTTTTATGGATTTTCAGGCATAAGCAAGTAATCGATCAATTTAAGCACTAACACCTGATGGACAGTAAGTGGAGGCCAGATCAGGTTCAGTGATGCAGTGGTGATGAGACGACTGTTATTAGTATTAATAACAATGTTTTGTCTGTTGTTTTGATGTCAGGAATTTGATGTAACATTATTTCACAAACAAAGATAAGGTTTTTTAATATGTTTTGTACCATTTTATACATTTATATGTATATTTTTTTCTCCTCTTGGTATTAGTCACAGAGTAAATATATCATGCGTCAGACACTGGATAAACCTGTCCTCCACTAAATGACATGACTTTATTGAGCTGCTGTTGCTGCCACTGCTGACAAATATCTTAGGCACGTGAGCAGTCGTGGCAATGTGAGCCAAACAAAGTTAAAAATAATCTTACATATATGACCTCACTGGTTTCAAAGGCCAAGTCTGTCATATAACCCCAGGCTCAATGGCTACAGATAATAAAATAAAAAAACGTCTTTTTGAACAAATTATTTTTCAAAATTGATTGTGTTCAAGAGCCAAGAAACATAAACATAACTTAATGTTGTCACAACTTCGACTTGGCCCCGTGTTCTTACAATACTGATTATACTGTGGCTAATAGCATCCCTGCCCCCAAGCTTTTTCAAAACAAACCTAACTGACATGTTGGCTGACCTTCCAACCGTTGCGCAGTGTATCTCCCTACCGCCTGTTCCCTTTTTGCCATATTCAGTTCCTTTGTTATACCAGGCACAACTGTTTTACAGCAGTCATGAGCGAGAGCTGTTGTCATGCAGATCTGTGTGCATCTCAGATTTCCTTCCTGGGAACTATTTCCCTAATCACTTTAGCAATACCCCACCAAGCCTTAGCAAATAGTTTGTGGTGGTCTTGTTTTCTCCTACTTCTGAACACATGCATTGTGTTTGGAGAGCTTCTTTTGCACGAAACAAATGTTCTCAGTTTGTACAATAATCCAGTAGGTTTGAATTTGTGAATCTGTGTCATTTCATCCAGCCTCTCCCCTCTTACCACATTTGATACGAATATTTTGATAATAGTGCTTAATAATCTTTAACTAAGGAATGTTTTCTACAATGCTACTTTATGTCTTTAGGTGATCTAAGATTTGAGAAACGGTCTGTATTAAAGGTGGAAGCCATGGTGTTGATTTTGGGCCGAAGGATTATTAGAGAGGACTCTGGGATCAAAGACTCACCGGCTGTCAAACGCAAGGTACTGTTGAAAACAAAACCAATCTGGATTGAATATTTGTGACAGGTATTTATGTTAATTATTCTCTTTAAAGGTATTTGACGTTGATCCCAAAGGTTTGGCCAGCCAGGATGTTTTGGATTTCTGTTCTGGTTCATCCCACTCAGAAGGCATCTTGCAGGTGTTTAATGAGTTTCGTGACTGCCGCCTGTTCACTGATGTGGTCATCAGTGTACAGGGACGTGAGTTTCCCTGCCACCGGGCTGTGCTCTCTGCATGTTCTTCCTATTTCAGAGCAATGTTCTGCAATGATCACCGTGAGAGCCGCGAAATGCTCGTGGAGATCAATGGCATCTTGGCCGAGGCAATGGACTCCTTCCTCACCTATGTTTACACCGGCCGTGCCAAAATTACCACAGAGAACGTCCAGTTTCTTTTTGAGACCTCCAGTCTTTTTCAGATCACCACACTGCGTGATGCCTGTGCTAAGTTCCTGGAGGATCAGTTGGACCCCTGCAACTGCCTGGGTATCCAGCGCTTTGCAGACGCCCATTCTTTAAAGCAGTTAGCTAGTCGTTGCCGCAGCTATGCCCTTGCCAATTTCTCAGAGGTGGCTCAGCACGAGGAGTTCCTTGACCTACACAAAGAAGAGCTGGAAGAGTATATTGGCAGTGATGAGCTGTCTATTGGTAAGGAAGAGGTCGTATTTGAAGCGGTGATGCGTTGGGTGTACCACACTGTGGAGACCAGGAGACCAATGCTAAAGGGCCTGCTGCACCATGTGCGTCTGCCGCTTCTTCACCCCAACTATTTCGTCCAGACAGTGGAGGGAGACCACCTCATCCAGAATGCCCCAGAGTGCTACCAGCTTCTACATGAGGCCAGGCGCTACCATGTGCTTGGAAATGAAATGATGTCACCAAGAACACGTCCTCGCAGGTAATCAAAAGTTTGACAATTACTTCAAGATAGCATAACAGCACTTGGAAGGCTGGCACAGTGTCAATAGCTGATGTGTGTTTCAATTGAATATCTGTCACTTATAGAAAGGGATGTTCAATATATGTTGAATTTACAACTTATTACATTGTTGTATTGAAGCATGTAGAAATTTTTTCTTGTCATCATCCTCACGTTTAGATTTTGGAAATATTAAGCATGTTTTTTCCAAGTAGGAGTTGTGTGATGTTTGCGTGCATGCAGGCCAGTATGTGTATGTGTGTGAGAGGGAGTGTTACTGTGTTGATCAGGCAAGTATGGCACTGAGTGAGTTGTTATTGTAGCTCTGTTTTGAAATGAGGCTGATAATAAAGAAGGTAGGGCATGTTCGTACTCAGACTGGAAAAAGAAAAAAAAAGTTGATGCAAGAACCAATCAAGAAATGTTGACTCCAAATATTATAACTACAGCCTCGCTCGCATTTAAGATTAATACAGTTAGGCAGTGAGAAATATGAAAATATTTCCAGACCTGTCTTGTCAAGTCAGTGGAACAGTCTAAGCGTCATCTTTGTGAGAATTTTTTTGACTTTTCGACCTTACCATTTTCTTCTGTATGAACTGAGGCTGGAGTGTGGTCTTTATTTCAGGTTTTTTTGTTTGAGTCGAGGTTTGATAAGCATCCAAGTCTGCCATTGACTGAAACATTATAAATGAGATTAAAAAAAATACACCATCTGCTCATCGGCTGCTCGGCCAACAGCTGGACAGCTGCCTTTATAATGAAGACCTGCTGTAAGAGTTAAATTGGTTCAGTGCCAGTCATGATTTATTTACAATGTTTGGCCTCTATTTCATCTCTTTTTTGTGCCTTAGGGGTAAAAATGTCTCCCACACAAAACAGATGCATAGTTCTCTCTTTTCTGTCTACACCTGTGCTGCTCTCCTTCTGGGAGGCCTCTAACTTGTCACGTGACACACACGTAACACATAATCTTGAGCCAGACTGTCTGTCTCTTTGTCTACCTGCTGTAGCTCTCTGTCTATGTAAATATGAAATGGACAAGGTCGTAGCTATCTGAAAAAAATGCAGTTTATTAGCCGATTGGAGGAAGTGATGTCATACCTTAGTCATGTGTTAAACAGATTTATTAAAAGGCTTGGTTTAGGGAAGTTAAAGTCTTGTTTTTATTCTTTGTTGTATCCCTGTTTAAATCTTTGCTACGTCAGCCATATCTGTCTATCACAATACCTGTTGACATTAATACTCTTTCAGTCTTGCATTTCTCCATCACTTCTTGTCACACCATCTTACAATTAGTTTCACAATCTCTCTGTGTTATCTAAATGTGTTTTGTCATTATTTAGAATAATAATCTAAATGATTTACTAAAAAGATGACAAAGAAAACATTGGAATTCCATAACCGTGTATGTTGACACCAAGTGTTTTTATAGTCCCAAAGTACAAAAATGGGCATTGATAAAATAAATTGTGTTGTATTTTCTCTTTTCCATTGACATGTTTTTCTTCAACTCTCCTCCATTTTTTTTCTGCACAGGTCAACCGGCTACTCTGAGGTGATTGTGGTAGTGGGTGGCTGTGAGAGAGTGGGCGGCTTCAACCTGCCTTATACCGAGTGCTATGACCCAATCACAGGAGAGTGGAAATCCCTGGCCAAACTTCCTGAATTTACAAAATCAGAGTATGCAGTCTGTGCCCTCCGCAACGATATCTTGGTCTCAGGTAACGACCTCCTGTATTCATCCATCCATGTTTAACCATTTGAACTAGTTTGTTTTCTCAACCGACGAGGACCAAAAGACAGTATAAAAGTGACAAACAGCTCCTTAAACTTAATTTATAGGTAATTCACGGTCAGACGGTTGATGTCCACATATAAACATATGTGATTTTAGTGTATTATGGAGCTGGAGAATCTGAAGGCAATTGAGACTCAGCATTCACATTAATAATAATTGTGCTGTAAAACTAAAGAACAAATAAGCATTCCAGGAGCACAGTCACCAGGTTTGTGTGGTTGAAATTTATCTTTAGAGTTAAATGGAGTGGCAGGTAAGGTCCACAGTGTCCTTTTTACCTTTTCTGGTTTATTCTTGAGTTACATAATTAAAAGATTAAAGAGAATATAAGAGGACAATAATACAAGAACAATATTTGGTTGCACTAAATGTAAACGGTCCTGCCTTTGGTGGCTTTATTTGTCCTTTGCTCAACCTATCGGACAGTCATGAGCCTTATACATCTGTATAGCAGCTTTGGAGGAAGCAGTTCCTTTAAAGATATAAGGGCTGTCTCTCATTTTGAGACTATGCCATGGGTTGTAGTGTGGTATGTTTAGATTAAAGCTAAGATGACATGTAGTTACTTTTGGCTGCTTGAATAAAGCTGTTTTATATTTGTTGGCCAAGCAATGACCAAGTGGGGTCGCAGCCTCCAGAAACATAAAAAAACTTGAATTGAACAAGACACTAATATTACATCATCTATTTAACTCATGAGATCAGAATAAATGTTGTTGCCAAGTAAAAGATTGATTTAAAAATGTTCTGTGAAGAAGTGGCTGTTATGATTGACCATGTTTTCACATTAAGGTCATAAGCTTTAGCTTCCTTCCCTGTTTTGAAAACAAATAATCTTAAGAAGAATTAACAGTAACTTTGTCTGCCAAAGGGTCTTGCTCTGAGACCTTTTTGTATGAGAACAAACACTGTACTTGGCCAAGAAAGCCCCAGGTAATATATTCAAAAAAGAGTGGAAACTAAAGGAGATAAGGAAAAACGAAATGTTTCACTGTGCCAAGTTTCACATGCGACTCATCAATCACCCTTTAAGCTCTTGGAACAGTCAACAAATCCCACCCATATTTTTTCTGAGTCTAAAACACATGCTCTTTATTTCTCTGTACTCCTTTGTTACATTGTATGTAATGTGCATTTAATCCCCTATTCTTTATTTCATTTTAAGCTTGTTTTCTGAAATACATTCCCCATGAGCCTGTAGTCTGTCACACAGGGAACTGGGTCAAATACCTTGTAGAGGGTTTGCATTATGTAGCATAGCTGGACTCTGTTTTAAAATAGAAGCAGGTTCCATTAGTGCAACTCTGGTTTATCTCAGGACAGTGTTTGTGGGCACTGCTGATTTTCACCTGAGTCATTTTGTAAAATCAATAGTGTGTACAATGCTAGATTATTACATACATTCATCCCATGTCTAACATGTGTTGCAATGACAATAAAGAACAGAGACAATAATGAGCTTGTGTGTGAGCAGTACAAACACTTGTGTCTTTGACTGACAGGAATTCTTTTAACTGAAGGGATCCGAAATTCAGCATTCCCAATAAAATCAAATGTGACTATAGGTCGAATGTAACTCTTGTAAAGCTGTCGTACAAATCATAGTGTTGGTGTTATTATGCTTAAACACAGTAATCAGCTTCAGTGTATATCCCCGTTGAGGTCTGATGACAAACGGGTGTTTTATTTGTCCTTATTTGAGGAAGAATTTTCAAAAGCTGTCCCAGACAATGTGGCTCTTTTGAAGTTGTTCCTCCTCCTACTGGTGCTTCAACCATGCAAATCTAAAAAAAAAAAAAAAAACACCCTGAAGGGCTGCAGACTGACTGACTCTTCTATGTTTTATCAGATTTTTGATGCGAACAGGTAATGTGACTGACTTCTGTTCATTTCTTCTTTAAATCTTTGTCCTACAGTCTGTACTAAAATGACTCATCATTAATTATGTTAATGATTGTGAATTACACCCACCATCAAAACAAAGGCAGTATCCTCACCTGCCTAGTCTCCTTGGTAACATACAGCATTAGTCATTTCTGGCTTTGTCTGTATGTAAATGAAGTCTAGACATCACATTTTATATTGGCATGTTTCTTTACTGCATTCTTAGCCTTGATTAGCTACTTTCTTCTTAGCCTTGTTTACAACTTTGAAGGAACCCAAGGAACCAAGTCTTGGTTTCAAATCCTTGACCATGTTTTCATATACCAGTTTGTATTTTGATTAAATTCAAGAATAAAAGCCCTAGATGTGTCTGGCACTAATTTTTCTGCCCTGTTCCTGCTTCCATTGATGACTCAGTATCTCCTGATTTATTTATTTATTTATTATCTGCATAGCTTTCTTTCAATGTACCACAACTATCAACCATCAGTTCAGAGGCAAATATTTAGATGCAGTTCAGCAGCCTTTAGACAGCTGTTTGTGTTGGATACATAAACTGACACCAATTATCAGTCACCAATTCTTTTTAATGAATCTCTAGGCCTGCCAGTAAATAAAGATTTTAAAGACCACGGTACATTGCTCAAGGGTTCCCACCATCTATATTGCTGCATAAGGATTTTTGCAAAAAAAATGCACAGATAAGCCAATGTCTTATCTTGCCCTCAAAATAACCTACATGTAGTTTATATTGTTTCATTCTGACATGATAACCCCTTTTGATCTGAGGGTAAAGAGTCTGTTTTGACTGTCTACCCGCTGAATGTTCAGGTCTGAGGTGGTGAGAGATTTGTAGTGGTAGTGGAATATGTCTTGACTTGTTTGTCATCTTCCAATGTATACTGCTCAGTTGTCTGTATTTTCAGCAAACTCTTGTTTTTCGCATGTTTGTTCAGAGACGACAAATGAGGTCCTTAACCTAAGATAAAACCTAAGGTTTATTTATGTTGGCAGCAACATATATGCATAAACATGTGTTCATATATGTTATATATAATGGTCATGTATATGCAATGTGTGAGCATCTCAAACATCATAGTTTTTGTTTTGTGATGTTTATAGGGGGTCGAATCAACAGCAGGGATGTTTGGATGTACAACTCACAGCTCAACCTGTGGATTAGAGTGGCTTCTCTCAACAAAGGCCGCTGGAGACACAAGATGGGTGTCCTCCTAGGAAAGGTAAGGAATGACCCTAAAGGGCTAGTGCTGGATCTTAGATTAATGACTAACTCATTATACTATATGGAGTACGCCTCTGATGTAGGAACTGATTAATAGCTTAGTGTTAGATGTTGCGTGTCAGTGGCACTGTCACATCATAAATAGCTACATCACTTATTACCTTATTATCACACAGAAGGAAAAGTAATCGTGTACAGCCTTTTATATCTTCCCAATAGTAAGGCTTCCACCGCTATGCTAACGTGTATCAAATAAGTAAAGATTTTATAATTTTATAGTTGTAAATTACATAATTTGTCATTAGGGATAACCAAGCTTTTGGGATTACATGTCCATGGATACTTGTTCTTGCTAACATTAATGTTGTGCAGCAAACTGTTATTTTTGGCACTCATACTTGCGCCTGTATTCCAAAACAATAGAAGGCATTTTTGCAGAATATCATACATCGTGCAGAAGACGCACGATAAATAAGGCAAGATGATAAAACTTTTGGCTAGAAGTTTATGACAATGGACTTAAAAATGGGTAACATGACTGCAATTTCCTCCTAGGAGTCCATGGCTATGTGTCCTGGTACTCTCTTGAGAGTTTATCTTTTGGGTTTGGTTACATAACAATCTAAATTAGGCTGTTTTTATCTAACCCAAGAAATGAAGCCAATTTTTGCTTGCAATCTGCATAGTACTTCCTTTTGTTGACAATTCTGACGTATTTCTGAGGAAGGTCTGTTCCTCAAAATATAGCTCCTCCTGCTCCCTTTGGATACGGACCCAGTTATTTCCTCTTTCAGTCTATAATTTTCCTTAAAGTGCGGGACATGTGCCGTGACAAGTGTGTGTTCAAACAATTTGTAAACATGATCTATTCGCTTTACTTTTAGAGACATGCTAAAGAACAAGGTTAACGATTTTAGGTCGGTTCTGAAACAAATGCAGCTCCTCTTAGAAAATCTGGTACAAAGGACTTGTATTTCTGGTATTTATGTACATTTTATTAATGTACTTAATAATTATTATTAATAAAACTTTCAACAATTAGATAGGTACCTTAAAACTGCCCAAGTTTCTGAACCACAAATCTTCGATGTACTGTATGTTAACATGATAATGTTAATTGATAAAATGGTTGGTTAAAACATTTCTCATGTGTTGAGTTCATTCAGTATGTATTTAAAGGGTTTTAGAAGAAGACTCAAACATATTTTTTTTAGGAATGCTAATAATTATCTTCAAACTCTAAAACCTTGTCTTTTTTTAGGCAAACTACATTTTCATAGCTGGGTGGGGGCTTGACTACATGTACATCCGTGTCTCATTCTCCAAATATTTGTGTAAGGGTTATAATATGAGAAATAGTAGAGCAGTACCTCATACTGTTATTACCTGGTGTCATCTCTGCTAAAATGCAAAGTGGCGACATTGAGGTGATGTTGTGAAAACACCTGCCACAGTGGTTAATTGAACGTCTTGTATCCGCAGACATGAAAGAATGTGTTGTCCAACATACCAAAGGCTTTACACATTTTATGATTGTTTACATTAGGCATGAGAGGCTGGACTCGATAGTCAAGCAGTCACATAGCTGCTGTCTGCCTATGGCTGGTCATCTGGGTTCTTAATGATGTCATTTTCTCATAGATAAAAGCATGGAAATGTAGTGCAGTGATGATGTGTGACTGTTTGTCAAACTGGGGTTCAGATTTGGAAACATCAAAAATGGGTGGATTATCACTGCAGTGGATTGAAATGCTTATTGCCAAATAAACATAGGACTTCTCTCACTCCGGTGCCTTTCCCAATAAATGCAGTACACAGAGATCTTACACCAGTATGTTGATGAAACAAGTTATGAGTTAGGTAAATGTCTAAAAATCAGCTGTCATTAATCCGTGATTACTGGTAACACACTTGAGCTGGTACTATTTACAGCTTCCAGTACAGGGCCAGGTGAACACTCCTGCTCGAGGGCAGTGGGAGTTTAATGGATTTGTGCCAGCACATCACAATTCTAAGTAAAGAACTGGTTTAGTCTTGTGTGCTGTATCGTTCTGCATGTGTCTCTGTGCAGTCAGATAATCCTAAAGTAGCCAAACATAGTGATAAAACTGCTGATAAGGATATATACCTGGTGGACTGACATATGTAGGTGTAATGTAGCACACCTTTCTCTAAGCCTGTACATTCAAAGGTTGCTGAAGGAAGTGATTTATTGTATACAGTGAAAGTGATTGCATTCATTTAATTGCATTGGTTTCTTTACCATCAATATGTTCCTGTGAAATCTTTGTGAAGTTGTATAAACTAGAGTCAGATCATAAATAACTAGGCTTTGTAGCACTGCACAGACCACCATTATATAAAAGGCAGTTCAAGAACTGGTAAACAAAGACATGGTAACTTAATGAAATACTTCAGAAATGTAATTATCTGCTGTTAGAGATGTTCAAAGAAGAATAAGCTAGCGTAAGAGGAATCTTGGCATGAGAAGAGCGGAACATTGTTTTCAATAAGCTTTGGGCCAAAAAAAAACTGAAATGATTAAAAAAAAATGTAACCCATGAGACTTTTATTTGTCACAGAGATATGATCTATATAGTTTTACCAAACAAATATTAATAGATATATGCTTGAATTTAGTTTTTGGACAGCATTCCCCACGACTTCAACAACATCCACAATCGTTTGTTGCCTCATCACAGGAACAATAAACACGTGAGACACTTTTTTTCACAGCAGTGAGGAAATCAGCTGTGCAGCAACACTGGGACTATACAAGTCAGTAATTAACTCCAAAGTGAGTCATGTATAAATGTGCAGAAGTAAAAACAAGTTGGATTGATATGGCTGTCCTTTTACATCTTTAATAAACACTGCTTATAAGAAGCTAAGTTTAGCTTGTCTATGAGAGAACTTGGTTCTTCATGCATCAGAAAAGAACACAAGTACACCATAAAGACATATCAACTATTTAAAGACCTGACGTTCCATGAAATTCACTTGTGTTAAGCTAACCGGTTTGGTTCTTCAAAATTTGGTTTTTAATTTCCTCATGGCTTTTTTTTTACTTGATAGCACCTTTTCCTGTTATGGTACCATTTCAGATGATATCTGTTCTATTCTGCAGGATTTCTTAAGAAATCTCTCTCAAGACTTAAAGACAGACATTTCCTAATTCAACTATAATTGTCTATTGTCTAGCTAGGCACGTGATCCAGTAACAAGTGTGTGCTGAACCAGTCTGTAAAAGGAGCGTGTGTGTCTTTGTGCCAACCTGTTCATTTCTGTACATTTCAACTTCAGGGCTCGCTCAGATAAAGAATACAGATAAGGGTTGTGAGCTACCTCACTATAAATTTTGAGGGTTTTTTTCCACACAAATCTACAAAATACTTAGTTTAAAATTAATATGAACTAAACTATGTGTGGTGTCATAACAGAAACCCACACTCTGTTAACCTGTAAATCTCAAATAACACATTTTTCTTAGTGTATAATAATTTTGGTTTTAATCTTTACTCATGAAAATAATGGCAGGAAGTGTCCAGAATGGAAGTGGAAGATATAAAGATAGGATGAAAGTACTATGGCAGTATGATGAGTAGGTTCACAATTCTGACTGTGGTGTTTTTGAGATCATTAGTTCTAAGAACATTAATTTGACAGTATGAACTCTTGTGTTAAAACGTTTGTTAAAGCTCATGGAAAATACGTCAACTACATGAATAAATGTATGCATTTTCTCTGGAGGTGATTTTAGTATTTGTTATTAACCTTATGTGTTACATAGGGTTCATAATATAATGCTTTCTGGTGTATTACCGTCTGTAGTTGTCTGCAGGACTGGTCTTGTTTCAAGAGAGTGTAAGAGAAAAAAATAGGTCACCACTTGTTTTCCTCTCCCTGTTGTGGTTGCACATAGTGACGGCTGTTCTCAACTGTCATAATCTCTTTCTCTCTTTCTCTCCTCTGCTTTCCCTCTTACTTGTGTGCTGAGTTGTTTTGCCCTCTAAAGTTACCCACTGTTTCTTTACCAGGCTTCACCTCAGATGTCTCTACTGTGAAGATGTCAGGGAAACTGTAAATCATTAAGCTGTTGTCAATATTCAAAATGACCATAAAATAGACTGTGAACCTGCCTGTTAAGTTTATGTCTACAGAAAACCATGAATCAGTTTTTGGTTTAGTGTTTATGCGATAGTCACATACACTAAGTGATTATCGGGTGTGTGCTACCACAGTTAAGTTTCTGTGAAATGTGCTTGTACTGTAACACTCAACACATTCATGGTGGATTGAAACCATGTGTTTCATCGAGTGGTAGAGCAGTGGGGGAGAACATAAAATGTGGTCAGGGCACTAGTGTATTCAAACACGCTTGTGTCTGGATATCCTCAGTACAGTGTTAAAGGGCCAGTCCCCTGATGTATGAAGAAGTCCTATACAGATACAGTAGATACAGTAGCTGTGTACGTTCTACTAAACTTAACAGCTCTGATATATGACAAATTTGAAAAAAACGTGGCCATTAAAACACACCCCTCCACCAAAATTGGCAAAAATTGTTGTACTGTTATTAAAGAAAACACTAAATGCAAACATGCAGATTGAGAGGTTAATGATAGTCAAAAGAAACAGGAACATGTTTTCCATGGTACCAGTTTTTCAGTTAAAAAAGGCGGTAGTGCTCACACAAAGACCAGGTGCTGAATGCAAATTCCCCTCTCTCTCTCTCTCTCTCTCTCTCTCTGTTCCCTCCCGTTACCTTATTTACACACTTCAGCATGGAGGAACAGGAACAGTCACAGTGTGTTCTTCATAAATACGTCTTTAGGCAGTGAAGAGTAAACACATTGAGCAACTTGCACTTTGCAGAAATCTTTCATCCTAATCCACTATTCAAAAACATGGTTTCCCCCTTCATTGACAAAATTAAACATTTTATATATAATACAGATTTAACATCCAGGTTTAAAAGACAGGCATAAATCTGAACAGACTTCTAGGTCAAGGTGAAGTTCACAGTGTGCAAATGCAGCAGCGCCTGTATGAATACTTGAATACTAAGTGGTGTTTACTGATGTACAAGGAAACAAGGACTCAATGGATAATAGCCGTTCTTGAGAAGTGTCACTGTCATCTTTCTACTGAACCTGATGAACTGGTTTAAAAAGTGCTGACGTAGATGAAGTTGTATAAAGGATTTTCTAACTTCAAAACAAACCTCCTAATTTTTAGGAAATGGTGTTTTTGCATGCTTGTACAAGCAGAACAGCTTGTACAATATCAGAAGTAGAACTGTGGATTAATATTTCTCCTCTTTTGAAGAGTAGAAGAGCAGATCAAAAGAACTCCCCTTTACCCTGAGGAAATACTGTATACAGCCCACTTCTTTTAAGTAACGTTGGTTCCTTCTCCTCTTAGGTCTATGCCGTGGGTGGCTATGACGGCCAGAGCCGCCTCAGCAGCGTTGAGTGTTACGACTCTTTCTCCAACCGCTGGACGGAAGTGGCTCCAATGAAAGAGGCGGTCAGCTCTCCTGCTGTTGCCAGCTGTGCTGGGAAGCTGTTTGTAATTGGAGGGGGGCCCGACGATGAGACTTGTTCAGACAAGGTGGGAAACGTGCACATTCTTCCTTAATTATCACACCTAAGCATATGGTGAGGACCACGGACGTGTTTTTTTCTCACTCATTATACTTTAGACTACCATCTTGAGTGATGACAGAAAATCACCGTAGTAGACAAATTACAGGGTGTTTTTGAAAAGCAGGTCCATGATGCAGTATATTTAAAAAAAGACTCAAAAAAAGACCCTAAGTAGTTTGTAACCACTTTGCATTTTTCTTGTTTGTGTTAATAATACACTACCAAAACTGTTTAGTTTGTGTGGCAGGAAATAATGATATCAGTCAAACTTAATTCTCATCTACTTCCACTCGAGAACACTAGCGTCTGTAAACTTAATTAGCATACAACTCTGCCAGGGGTTATGACATTCTGAGGTTAGGCTTTTGGCCTAACACTAAGTATAAGAAGTTTATTATTCCTCGATATGCCCAGCTGAGCCACTGACTAATACTGTGATTAGATAACCACATTATCGGGCCATAGCAGGGCAATTAGTAGGAACATAATGTGGCTAGAATAGTCTTGGTATGTTTTGGCTGGGATTAGAGTCACTGACCTAACAGGAAGACTGTTGCATTCAATACAACCCACATCAGTAGCTGAGTTACCACAGCAATATATCATGGACCTTCTATAGAGTCAACACAAATTGTTTTATAGAAAGGTTTTTTGTTTTTTAACTGTATGGCTGTTAAGACGTGGGATGCAGGGATTAGAGTCTGTGTCGGCTGATGTCCTGTGTCTTGTTTTTTTTTTTTTTTAACTGTATGGCTGTTAAGATGTGGGATGCAGGGATTAGAGTCCGTGTCGGCTGATGTCCTGTGTCTTATCTTTAAAGTTGCCCCACCATTACATTGATGGACTGTAGCAAAAGAGTCACGTGCGTTTTCTATTTAGCACATCCACAAACAGAAAGCTTTTCAAACCTAAAACCTTCATCCTGAATTTCATAGGTTCAGTGCTACGATCCAGAAACTAATACTTGGTTACTACGGGCCAACATTCCCATTGCTAAGCGCTGCATCACAGCAGTGTCCCTCAACAACCTGATCTACATCTGCGGTGGTCTCACCAAGGCCATATTCTGCTATGATCCTCAGGAGGATTACTGGATACATGTGGTTCACACATTCAACAAACAGGTAACAGAGAAAAACGGAGGACACAACACACTGTGTTTATTACATGCCATTGTTGTTTTAGAGTGACATCTCTGAAGGTAGAAAGGAGTAGTATGACTGGCCTTTGATGTCTGTTTAAAAAAAATGCTAACATTTTTTGTTGCATGGTGTTTTTGCAGGAGAGCTGTGGCATGTCGGTGTGCAACGGTAAGATCTTCATCCTTGGTGGCAGAGGGGAAAACGGAGAGGCCATGGACACCATCCTGTGCTATGACCCTTCAACTGGCATCATCACAGGGGTGGCAGCTATGCCGAGGCCCATCTCGTATCACGGCTGTGTCACCATCCACCGCTACAATGACAAGTATCATAAACTCTGATCAAAAAACAAAACACAAAGACACACAAACAAACACTCAAAAACCCTTTACTTTGACTCCCTGTACAACACCCTCTCTCAAACAGGCACATGTATTTCTCCACAGCATCATGTAGCAACAGTCAGTGTGTTGCTGTGAATCTTTAACTGTTGTGCTTCACAAATAAAGCCCTTGTGTGAACGTGGTTGACAAGGTAAACAACCTGACCTTGGCTTGAGATAAACTAAGGTCATCCAGCTGGTTTATCTTGAATTAGAAATCTTAACTTCTTATTGTGTACGTATCAGGTATTTGCATTGGATTTGTACATTTACCTCTAATCTATTTCCCCTAATGTGACCTAGTTTAATACAGAGGTCTGTAGAAAATGTTTAAGCCTTGAAGCCTGATTAGAAATTCAGTGAACAATACATGCTGTATGTCTAATTTCTTTTTTTTATTTATTCAAAAATGTGAAAACAAGATGATAAAATTCTATTCCTAAACATTCAGGATCCTGGATTTTTACCTAAAAATTTAAATAGTAAAAATGTGTTTTATTGCATTTTGCCTAGACTTATCTGAAATGATAAAAGTTTTTTCAAAAGTTTTATAATAGTTTTTACCAAAGGATGGGCATCCCAAAAAAATCTGAGTTTTAAAATCACTGTCACAAGCTAAGTTGAACACAGCACCACACTGGATAGAACAACAAAAACTGTCCTCCATTTTCTATTTTTTCTTTGATTAAAAAAACAACGATCTAATAGTGACCTGTAGAGATTTAACAAACAGTCGGCCTGCTGTTCAGCCACAGTGTATCACAGGTCATAAAAAGGCATAGAAGAAAAGATAAAGAGTGGAGGCTGTGCAATAATATTGGATCAACACCACTGTTATCACTGACCTCTTGTTTCCGTTTATCTCCCACATCCCTGCACTTACCTCCTGCTTTCACTTCCAATGCCTGTTTCCCTTTTCCTGTCCCCATTTCCTTTTCTACATTAATGCTCATTTAAGCATTATTAATTTTTATAATTATTCTCAATATATTCATTAATGTCTAAGTTAAACAAGTTTTGAATTTGTTTTGTATGTGGATGTTGTTTTAGCTGTAGCCTTTTGTGTCGCTCATATCAGCGTACGTTTATCGGTGTGCTGGGCTTGTGTGTGATTTTGTAGGTTTCAGAAGCCTTTGTAGATCAAACTCTAAGACTGCTCTGACTATGTGGACACATGTTTGTGACCTTTGTGACTTGTTCTGGATGTGTTGAGGTTTGTTTTTGGAGTTCCAGCGGGAACATTGCAACACAGAACGTCCATGAACAGAACTCCTGGGGCTGATGCCGGCACTTCTCACCTGTACACTTACATGTAAAAATGTAACTCGGGGGAACCACAGATACCTCCAGGTGTGTATGTGTGAATGTGTGTTTTACTTGTCAGCTGAAGGTGGGGTTTGTAGCAGTGCTATACCTCACATTGTGAGTGATATGGATTTTAGATGGATTGGCTTATGGTCAGTAAAAGTCACCTTTTACTACACTTGGTGTTGATAGACTAGTGATATTGCTGTGAATATGACTTATTTTTATCATATGTTGTTGTTTAACCTGTATTTAAAAATGTTATGTTTTCTTATTTGCATTTTTTTTTTATTTTCTGTAACTGAGAGCCCCAATTGTGCACTTTGACAGAATACTCTTAAATGTAGAATTACATGACAATGATTTTCTTTTTTTCCTTTCCTTTTTTTTTTTTTTTACTGTATCAGTAAATGTTTCTTTCTTTCATGTGATAAAAAAACAGGGCCTGTCAGCTCCTCCTGTTGGCCGCTACCTGTTATAGCTTTGATATGAGTGACTGCCAGATAACTGAATGCATCACCAAAGGTGTAAACACAAACATACAGGGCAGAGTTAGTCAGTGGCTCTCGTTAGGAGAAACACTTATTAAAATAAAAGCCAAAGGCAGATAGTTTAAGATATGGTTTGAGGAAAAAAAGATTACAAAGTTAAGAAATTCCCACCCCAGGTTTGAACTTGTTTTGGTGATTCGTCATATCATGTCAGAAAAATGTCTGTGACATTGACAAAAACACCGGAGGTAAGGGGTTCACTTTAACCAACTTCTAGGAATTTCCTGAGAAAGATGTCCTCATGCTGAAAAGAACTTACCCCAGGCGCACTCCCATACCTTCACTGTCAACTACTGTAAATTGATTTGCTCACAGGGCCAATAGGAGGGGATGGGGGTCAGAAAGTGGTTTGAAGAACAGAGCTGGATTAATTAAAAAAGTTAATAATAATTTTTTAAAAAGTAAGAAAGATATTGTGTTTGAATGTGTGTCTAGGATTTCATCGAGTATTTGATGCAGAGTGAGACATGGACTGTTTTCTATTATTCATTCAATATAATAATGACTTTTTATAATGTTTTTCACGTTTACTTTTTCATTTGTTTGTTGTGGTGGTTGTGATTGTGGGACTGTGTTGTGTTGCTCTTGTGTGTTTTTGCAAAAAATGTTGTTTGATTTTATTTTATTTTATTTGTTTAAATAATACAAAAACAAATGCAGATTTAAGAAAGTGGATTTGATTGGTTCCCAAAGATGCCTGATTAAAAGTTTTTTAAAAAGTACTTGCATGCAACATGGGGGCTTTACCCCCTAAACATGGAGAAGGCTACCATGTGTGCCTTATTAAAATGTGGGGATTCAGCGTGACCATTGTGATATAACCATTTATTGTTGTGTGAGTGATGAAACGTGTTAATGCCATCTTTTCCTCAGATGCCTTGTCTGACTGTAGGAAAGCATTGATATTTTTGTATACTACAGTATGTTTAAATGTATTGGTTGACTTGTGTATGAAAACATCAATAAAGTTTTTCTTTACCAGAGTTTGCTTTGTGTCATTCGATTTGAGCAGATGGACATTCTGCTTCATATACTCATTAAATATGTTGCAGCATCCAGGGGCTAACTAATCATGTTGGGGAATTATAATGAACCCAATGTGATGAACAAGCACAGCCTTAAGAACCCAATACACTATTTAAAGCTGAGGCAACTTGTGCAACAATAACAATTCACAAAGCCTCCTTCATGTGTGAAAGGTTGTAATTTATAGTCATCGTATGGAGGGGCTGAACCGAAACCACAAACTATCTTCTCACTAATTCTTGAAGACATACTGTCTCTGCTACATAGCCAAACACTCTACAAAGTATTTTTGAGTACACAAAGAGGATGTTACTCATGTAAAAGCACACATAATTCCATTTTCATAGGCACTTAGCGATGGCTACAGTCTGTCACTTGACACCCTTGTATTTCCTGTCTGGAGACATAAGCAGTCATGCATTTTACAGTGCTAAATGTATAATGTTTAACTTTCTAGCTCTCATAAAAATGAACTTGTGAACTGTAGTAATGTTAAATGGCACATGGCCCAATAGGAAAACATGACTTTTTTAAACACATGTACAATGCAATTCTATGCTGTTCCATACGGTAACTACTCCTTAACTAGGTAAAAGGGGAACACATTGGTGTGGGGGTGAGTGTCAGAGCCTCACAGCACAAAAGTAACAGCTTGCATCCTGGCTTTAGCAGATGGTCTTTCTTTCTTTTCTTTTTTTCCTCCATTCTATCAGTTTGTGAGATTTCTCCAGGTCCAAAACCAGATAAACTGGGAAGACAATTCATTAGGCAATTTTATGTCACCATGTGTAAACGTTGCCTTCTTTTCTTCTTCTGTGAAACATGTAAGGTCTGTGTGGTCAGTAAAATACTCAATTTAAAAGAAATCCATTCAGAAACACATTTTTATGCATTAGAACTCCTCAGTGTTATGGGCTCATGCACATTCACAGTGCTACTTCATGAAGTTGGTAGTTTTAATTGTATGTCTAATGAATTGCACTCAATCAGTGGGTTTACTGCGACGCGGTCAGTGTTACAATTTTTATTACCACTGTCAGTTACATCTAATATCTCTTTTTCAGTAGACAAAGTAATAAAGAGAGCCGTTTTCTTAAGATTTTGTAAGACAGTGGCCCCTGCTGGCCGTTATGCAGAAGTACAACGCAAACGCTCCTTCTTTTACCCCACTTTTCCTCTCCGAGATTTAACCATTTGCACAACAACAGTGTGTATGATAAATACAATACACCGCACCGGTTATGCTCTCATTGAATTAAAACACACGCCTTACTAAGAAACATTGCTTCAGTGTAAAGAACACACTCGTAAGTCTGCCGTTTTAATTTTAACTGAAACACTGTCTGCAAACGTGTGCTAGTGCTAAGCTAAGTTAGCCAACAAAGATAGCATCGCTAAATATACAGATTGTTTCCGGGCGTTATCGTTTACTAGCAGAGGATTCTTTGAAGCACGTGTATCGAAAACGAATACTGTAGCGAAGTGAGTACGATCTACGTCAACTGAAATATCTAGTAAACAGTAAATGCATGGTTTTTAGTGAAACCACATGCTAAGTCGTGTTCTGATCCTGTACTGTATATTAGCGTAATCAGATAGCGAGGTATGTCTGAAGTTATGGCTGACAGTGATACACTAACATAATAAACCAAAGCTGTTAAAGAAGCAGACACGTACTTTTACTATTGACCGTTTTTATTCTCTTTTAACAAAGAGCCATGTCTGGAGTTAAGAGGAAAATAGAAGACAACGACCCAGACTATGAGGAAATCTCCCTCATTCACAACAGCAAGAAAAACAAAGCAGATGAACAGAATGGTAAGTTCATTTTACAAACCCTGCGCTTTATTTACATGCAATTAATGCTTGCACTCATCTCTTTAATCCTGGGTTGTTGTTTTGTTTTCTTGTACTAACAGCTAGACAAGCAGCAGTCCAGAAGATTGAAGCAATCATCCGGGAGCAGTTTAATCTGGAGATGAAGAGCAAAGAGCATGAGATTGATGTGATAAGTCAGGTACAAGAAGAAACAGTGATTTTAAGACAAATTGTAACTAAATAAATAATAATTAAATAAAACAACCCCTAAATAAGTAAATGTGACATAATCTGTTTGTTGCGTTTTGTTATTTCACAGCGGCTCAATGAAGCCAGGAGAATGATGGACAAGCTACGGGCATGCATAGTTGCCAATTACTACGCTAATGCTGGGATGACAAAGAATCCAGAGGTAGTTTTTGATTTTGTACTTCTTTGTATATCTGTGCCATGCTTTATTGTCATCTCACTGCATGCTAACAAAAATGGCTTTTTATTTTGTCTTCCAGCATTGCACCAAGGGTGACCCTGCCATGCTCAACCATCCAGCCATCCGCCGCTACCTGGAGTCCCCATCACGTTCCTCTTCCCCTCTCAACCAGGGCTCTGAGACACCGTCACTGGCTCAGTCAGAGTCTGAATCCCTCTCACAGCAAGGAGAAGGATCTGAGCGAGACACAGAGGGATCATGGAGAGAAGACGGCAGCAAGCAGGAGCGCAGACCAGGACGAAATACGGGCAAAGTGAGTTCAGATGACAGGGCAACACCAGTAGTCTGGCAGTAATTAGTATTTGTAATGTGAAATATCATTTGCTGAGTTCTTTCCATTTTCTACAGGACACATTTGGTGTGCCTTCATCTGTTGGAGCAGAACAGAGAGTTACCTTCCACACAACAGGAGATGAAGCCTCGAGACTGTATGCAAAAAAGACAATTGTTGTGGGGAATGTGTCCAAGTGAGTGACCAACTATGATGTCATAGATCTTTATTTTTTCTAATGAGACCATTTAATTATCTTTGGTGAATAGAGGCTGATATTTATTTATTTTTGTCCATTACCATTAGATACATACCCCCTGATAAGCGAGAAGAGAATGACCAGTCTACCCATAAATGGATGGTGTATGTGCGAGGTTCCAGGAGAGAACCCAGTATTGACCACTTTGTGAAGAAAGTCTGGTTCTTCCTGCATCCCAGCTACAAACCAAATGACCTCGTGGAAGTCAGGTTGGTTGACACTTTGTTAGTCTTTTGTATATTTGACATGGATAAACAGAGTGAGTAAGCACTCGTTAGTCACTGCATGTATGTAGGGCCAACTCCACCTGTCTGTGGTAAATATTAGTACAGGCTGCTGCTTTGTAGAAGAACCTCAGGCTCCAACAGACACAAACACGTTTGTTGCTGAGAGATTTATTGCTCACTGTTTAATTTTAAACGTATTTTGGTTTAGTAGTGCCCCCTCAGTGATGGTTGCTTAACTGAATGTAATAAGCAAGTTGATTTTGAAATATCAATTATCCAGAGGTGTCACAGCCACCTTTTCGAGCTCATGGTTTTTGTTTTCTGTTTTTTTTTTCTCCACAAACTCACCTCAAAAGTGTCTTGTGATAAACCCTTTCAGCACTGCCCCCTGTGGATATTAAATTTTATTTGCAACATGTAGACCAGTCATAATAGCTGACAGTGTAGCACCAGTGGCCAGGACTAAAAAAAACCTTATGGTAATCTTATTTACACATCATTAGGTGAAGTCTGTGGCGTCATTAAGTACACAATGACTCAGACTGTAGATCAACATCATTAATATCCGGCACACCTAAATCCATGCCTTGGTGTCGTCTTGTAAAAACATATTCTTGGAACTGACTTCATATCAATCCACTGTGATGTGCATAACACCATCATTAAAGCCTCACGTTTAAACCTCTTAGTGTGATAAATTTTAGATAATTATATATTTCATTAATCAGTGAGTCTCATCTTGAGAATCTTGAGCATTTTCCATCTTGCTTATTCAACTAAGGTTACTCTCCAGCACAGAGCTAAAGAATGCATCATGTGTTTTATAGCATTAAACATGTTCAAGCACAAGTCAGGTTGGTGTCTAATATGTGCAGATAAAACCTTACTGCTTTATGCATGGGGAGATTTGTCATTTTAAACAGTTTAAATCTACTGTGAGTCTGAGCAAAGAAGTATTTTTTATATTCATTTATAGTCGTTATGAGTTTAGATTTTCATTAAAGGACTTTAAACTCCTGTTTATTCTCAGTGAGCCACCTTTTCATTTGACACGCCGTGGCTGGGGTGAGTTTCCCGTGAGGATCCAGATCCACTTCAAAGACCCTCGCAACAAGCGCATTGACATCATCCATCAGTTAAAGGTCAGTGTTTCATATGGAAGCAGTTTATAATATAATGGAATTCAAATGCATTGTCACATGATAAAGAATAAATGTTTCTGAATATTAAAACAAGTTGTTTTCAGTTTGACAACTGCAGTTGTACAATAACAGTAGTTCTTATTTGTTCAACTTAACATCTCCACTATGTAACTTCAGCAGTAACAAAATGTTTTTGATTCTTTCATTTGTCTACAGTTGGACAGAACATACACTGGGCTCCAGACCCTGGGGGCAGAAACTGTAAGTCTTGAATGTTTACTCAGCCTCACAGCTTTTCCTTGTCAGAACTTGACTTAGATCATGAGCCGTGTCTGTCTCAGGTGGTGGACGTGGAGCTTCACAGGGACTCTCTCGGGGAGGACTTCATTCCACAGTCCACTTCATCCAAGGCGACTAACAGAGCAGCTAGCCCCACCTACCTGGCCCAAAGTAGTGGACGCTCCAGCCCACCCATCTCCCATGAACCCAGTCTAGACAAAGGTATCACATCATATTAAACAGTAATGTATATTTAAAATACAGCAACAAATATATTTTTTGAAATAATTTTGTGCAATCATTCTCACATACTCTATAACAGGGGTGCCCACACCTTTTTTGGCTTGGGTGCTGCTATTCTAATGATCAGGCTAAAGTGTTCTACCTACACTGGACATGTTTAATATATATTTACTCATATTAATGTGTTTCATTATTACAGTGCATGACCACAAATAAACACTTTAGAATTATATATATATATATATATAGTATTTTGATCATTGATCTACCAGCAGTCCCTTTGCTATCACCCTGTAATAAGGTAATATTCCTCGATCTACCTAATCAAATTATTTGTTCAAATTCATTTTGCTGCACGCTTGCTGACATTTTATTGTGCCTCTACTTGAGAATTATGTAAATGGTGATTCATATTTTCCTCATCCATTATGCATAATCTTACATTCCCATGAAGCATCTACTTTTAATCTGAAATATTAATATCCTCGACCCAACCTGCCTGAGCCGCCACTGGACCTTGTGCTTGTCATTCGGCTGCAGTCGTCTTATTTCTCTCTATGAACAAATGTAAAATTATTATTCTTCTCACAGCTGTGATCAAAACAGAGATGGGGAGACATGCCGGGGCACAGAGCTCCACTCTGACTGCTGTTGAACGAACCCCAACCCGACCCAAAGCCAGTGATAGGGTCACCCTGGGATCCCATGGGAATTCAGCCTTTCAGCCCATCACCGCCAGCTGTAAGATAGTTTCACAGGGGCAGCCACCAAGTCCTGCTGATTCTCCTGGAAAATCATTCCAACCAATCACCATGAGCTGCAAAATAGTCTCAGGTAACCATCCAGGGGTAGCTTCATGGCAAGAAATGAACATGGTTATTTTAAATATACCAAACCAAGAAGAATGGAATCATTTTGTAACCTTATAATGTTGTTAATGTCAGCTAACTTGGAGTTTTTCCCACCTCATTTTATTGTAAAACACGCCAGATCTGTGGTAATGGACTCATCAACTACATTCTATATTTACACACACATTTACTTTGTTTATGCCTCAGTTCCGTGAACTGATTTATGCCAGACATTATAAAAGTTTGACAGGACAGAAGGTGAAGGTTGGCATGATTAAGGTAGACAAGTTTCATGGTTCGTTGTCTAAGCTGTGCTGCCAAAATATCTGTCAGTTTTAGTTGTTGTGAATGTCGAGGTTTAACTTTGCATTATTTTTTCCATTATAAGACAAACAATGTTCAACAATGTAGTTTTTTTCCCCCCTACAGGGTCTCCCATTTCTACCCCGAGTCACTCCCCACTGCCTCGCACACCCACCACGTCCACCCCCGTCCATAGCAAACAGAACTCTTCATCGGTGCTCAACAATCCTTATATTATTGTTGACAAGCCAGGCCAGGTCATAGGCTTGACCTCCTCGTCCTCAGCCTCTACAGGTAGACTTGTTATTCAACAGCAATTTTTACATGGAGAGCAAATATAATTTCAGAGTTCAGAATAACTCTGCACGCTGACCTTACAACTTTGATCCAATACTTGAGGGGGCATTTAACTTATAAAACAACTACAATTTCTAATTTATTTTTCTTTGCCCTCTTATCTGTACCTCCTTCTTCTTCAATTTTGTGCTGTGTTTGTGCCAGTAAAGTGATTGCTAGATTTAAGGTAACCATGGTGACTGAGCTTGTGCGTGTAGGCTTTAGCCGGTTTGGTGGATGAGACCCTTCATCTATCACACGTTCTCTGAGGTTCTTGCAAAGATAAATAGTTAATTTTAACCAAACTTGGTTTTCGTCCATGTCATCATTACATCAGCACTGCCCATTCATAACCCACTTAGGAGCTCTTACATCTTGCATTGCCCACTCAGCCACTCCCACACCTTCCCCACAAATGCACAGCTCATCTGTTCTAACTCTGACAGCAGGGTTGGAGTTCTATCAACTAGTGTTTTATTAAGTTTTTGTTTCACCCAGCTGCTTCAGCAAACCTGGGATTAAAATAAATCATCTCTGCTTCTTAAAGGGGGGCCTGCCCCCCTTTGATAACCACTGCTTTATTTTTTAATCCCCTCTAAATAGGTTCCTAATCCACTAACCTGTCCTTTTGAATATAACTGAAGGATTTACTAACATTTCAACGGAAATATTATGAGGTTATGAGGCTCTTTAATGCACTATTATTTATTTTATTTATTAATATTTACAGTACTGACAGAGTTTCCCCCTTGTGGCTATCTCTGGTATGTCCAGCCTATACTAAATGCAATGAAATAACATTTCTGACATGCTTTGTTTTGGATGATTTTTCTTGTAGGAAGCTCCTCTGCAAAACAATCTGCAGCGCAAGGAACTCGCTCTCCTGCCCCTAAAGTTCACACTGGCACCCTGCTCTCCTCAGGGGTTAAGGTGAGTTTAGGAAATTTAACAAAGACAACCTTTCAACTGTTTCTTCTCTCTACAGTATTGTGAATAGACAGATCATCCCTATAGAATATGTATCTTTTACATAGCACTGTGATATTAATAGCAGGTCCTGGGACCAGCTTCAGCAAATGTGGGGGCTTTGGCAGGCTGTTTAAATGGGACATCACTCTAAAGATGGGACTGTGTGCAGGGAGTTTTGCAGAGATAATTACACACTTCTATTTCACTCCGAGTGTCAATACTCTGCTCTAAAACCCCTGTCTCCCACACACTCACCATCCCATCATCACACCCTAAAAAAGGGGGAAAACACAACCTTATTTTATATTCATTGATATTAACTTGGGTCTATAATTTTATCTTTATCTCTCCTGGCATCTGATGTAGTAGTAAAGGCCAGGACAGCTGGAGCTTAATTAATGAATAAATAATGATAATGATTTTCAGCAAATCTTTCCATTGCTTTCTTTATGTAGTCTTAGGGCCGTAAGATGCTGAGGTCAAAATTAAACCATGTTGATGTCTAACCTTTTTTCCTTCTCACTGCTTCATTCCTCGTCATACTCTCATTTCTCTTGTGCAGGTCATTATCAAACAGGAACCAGGAGAAGTTTCTTCACAGCAGCAGATGGTTTCCACAGTAACCAGCCAGCAGCAGCCTGCAACTACAGCAGCGCACCAGTTTGTCGCAGTGAAGGGAGGTCACATGATCTCCATGTCAGCCCAAAAACAGGCCGGAGGGGCCGCAGCGGCCACATCAGGCAAGGTCGGTCCTAACTGGAGGTCACCACATCCAATAAGCCAATTGATTGAAATTAAAGTAAAGCATTAATAGCATTCAGGTCTGTAGTTCTCACCACTCAAAGGTAAATCTGACCTCTCCATATTTGTAGATATTGGGAATTCCTGTGAGCTCAACTCTTCAGTCAGCGGTCAAACAGGTGGCCATCAGCAGTGGACAGATTCTCGTTGCCAAGGGCAACCCCTCCGTCTCCAAAGTGATGAGTGGGAAGCAAGTTTTGGCTCAAGGAGTTGCTAAAGCCATTGTGAGTGGGGCCACCGGGCTCTCTGGTCAGCAGGGTGCTGTCAAGGCAGCTGGTGGTTCAGGAGGCAAGAGTGGAGGTCAGAGTTCACACAAACACTTTAACTGTGAAGGCTCCTTTACTAGCTCCTTATTTTCTCTTTCTCATACACAAACACCCTCTTATGTTAACTACTGCATAACACATGAACACAGAACATTATGAACGATAATCAACCCCCTAGTCACTAGATGGCAGCATTGTAGCTTATTTTATTAATCCATATTAATATTCAGGGGATTGTATGCATAATGCTGCTGTCAACAACTCTTACAGTGGTTTGTACAGATAAATAAATAAATATTACCAAACGCTCAACAGTATTTTAATTCTCTTCTCTAGGAGGGGGCAGAAAATAATTGAGAAACACTGTTTTGACCCATCACCTTAGTGAGCTTCCACCACTGCCCTGCTATATCTGTATTGATTCATATCGGAATTGGAAATTAAGTGTTTGGACAATATCGGCATCTTAGATATTGGCAGAAAGTTAATAATGGACGTACCCTACTTGTTTCTCTGTTGTTGTGATGCGGTTTGTGGTGAAATATCACAATAAAAAAAGTATTTTCTTCTTTCTTTGTGTGTCCACAGTAATGGCGACTCTTCAGCTGCCAGCCAACAACCTGGCAAATCTCGCCAATTTGCCACCAGGCACCAAGCTCTACCTGACGACTAACAGCAAGAACCCGTCAGGAAAAGGAAAACTCCTTCTCATCCCACAGGGAGCTATCCTGCGAGCTTCCAGTGCAAGTAAGATGTTTATTCTGTAATAATCTGATTAGTAAAAAAATGTGGATCTTCACAAAGTTGACTAAGATTAGGATTATAAATCCAATGAAACTTGGTCTTGTCACATGGATGCTATTTTCTAACAAGGCTCTGACATTGTTTTTGTTACAGCACAGTGGACATGTAGGGCAGTGTGTAAAACAAGTTATCACATGATAATTGATAACTAAGAAACCCAGAGTTCACCCTTCCGCATGGGACTCACCAATAACAATGTATAACAGTTGGATTAAACCAACCTTATTGCTGTGAAATCATATATATGTATGTGGCTCTGTGTATTTAAAGGTCAGCAGTCCCAGAGCAGCTCCTCAGCAGGTGCAGGAGGATCTCAGACCTCCTCCTCCTCAACATCAAGCAGTCTGCCCTCCAACCTCTCCTACACATCCTACATCTTAAAACAGACCCCACAGGTGGGTAGAACTCTTCTAATCCAATATTAGAAAACAAAACTATTGTAGTAAAACAATTTACCCTCCTACAACTGTTGTTTTTTACTTTGTTTAATGACATGATTAAGTGTAAGTGTGTATCGAATTCTGTAGTGGAAATTAAGATGATTTATACACTGTCTAATTAATACCCTGCACCTCGGGGCAGCGCACAAGATGTGTGAGAGAAAATAAGGTTTTTCCAAGTCATTAGTTCGTGTCAGGATCCCTGTGTTGTTGCTGATGAGCTGAACTGGGAGTGTGTTTTAAATTAGACACATTCATTATAGTGTCATTGATCCTGCAGTCAGTTTAAAACAGTGCTGTCTTTGCATTTAGCCCACAGTGTATATTGAATTTGTCTGCAGAGATTAAGGGAAAAGATGTTAATGTGAATTTACAGCCTCTCGTCAGATCATGTGATAAAAGTAATGTCTTGTCAGGTTGCAAAGTCGTATCAAACCCTGCTTTTCCAATTTTCCCAGGGCACATTTCTGGTTGGTCAACCAGCACAGGGTTCAGGTAAACCGGGTGTTTCCAGTTCTGTGAGTCAAGCAGCCTCCTCAACAGCTGGTGTTACCCAGCAGGCCATACGGGTAACAGCTGGACAAAAGGCAGCCATTCTGGCTCAGGTCAGTACGAGCATCATATGTTTCCTGTGTTCTTTCTTTTTTTTACTTAGCAGCAAAAATGTATTAAATTATTTTAAATTTTCAGTATCCAATTTCCAGAGGTGATGTTGAACTTAAAACTATTCACATTTGTAAAGAGGTGTCATGTTATCTCTGGTCAACTGTTTGAGTTCACATCTATGGCTGTGCTGTTATGCAGAAGTATCACGTCAGGAGGACAAGGGAAAATAAAGTTCACTGGAATTCTTTGGTTCAAATGTATTATTGTTGTAAATGTTTCTGTGGATTTACAGATGGTGAGTAGCTCCCAGGGGGCACAGGTGAAGTTGTCAGACGGCTCTGTTAAAACAGTGACAGCAGCAGCAGGACACTTGTCCAAGCCAGGAACAACCACGCTCCGAATGACAGGTGGAGTCATCACTGCAGCCAGCTCCACCCCCAGCTCTTTGAGTGCTGCAGCAGCAGGAAACCTACAACAGGTAACACTGGCAGTCTCAGATTAACAGTTTGCAGTTTGTTTTTGTTTCATTTAAATTTCAGTTACGGTCTATTTTTCCTGTTGACTATTTTTTATTTAGTTGCTATTATATAAGAATACGTTTATATTGAAATGTTTTATTTTTTCTTTCTTCTTTCTGAGATTAGGAATTTATTGGTGAGAGTAAAGCAGCATTAGTAATCCTGTGGTCATGTCATCTGTGTGTGTGTGTGTGTTTTTTTTTTTTTTGAGAGAAGAGTGAAACACTTGAAGCCGTCCATCAGCACTGGTCTGTGTTATGGTGATTACAGCTTCAGTCAGTGGCCTCATTAACTTGACAAATGGAAACACATTAAAAAACGCTCCAGGGAGACCTTAACACTTAAATATGTCTGCAGCATGTAAAAACACACTCAGCCTTCAGGTTGAGTTGATACCAGTGCTAAAAAGGTGAAGATCCTCTGTAGGTTAGTGACACTTTGAAGAGTGAGCTGATCAGCAACATCACTCCAAAGGTTAAAAACAAACTGTTAACAAGAGTATCTATTTTAAATGATCATAATTTAATCACTCAGCAGTTATCACATTGTACATGTGTATATTTGTTTTACTGTCTTTATAATGTCCTACTATATAGTACACAAGGAGTAGTAAATAAATTGTAGTTTACTGTGTACCTTTGCAAAACACCTGGACACTGCAACCCAGTTGTTGTAAACAGCCTCGTAAGAAAGTCTGTGTTCCTGAAATAAAAAGCTAAACCTTCCCAGACAGTAGAGACTGGAGTGTGTTTAGCATCAAACACATAAATCCAAAGGTATTTGAAAGATACGTTTTCATTCACTGCATCTTTTTTGGCTCTGTGTTTCATGCAGGCTGCTGATGGTGGGAAATCTGCCTCTCAGCACCCGTCCCTCCTGGTGGCAGCCAATCAAGCAGCCGTCATCAGTGCGGCTAAAAGCGCCAGTGCTGCTGCGGCGGCCGCAGCTGCTGCCGGTGGCAGCAGCCTGTCAAAGACGGCAGTGGCCGCTCTGATCAAAGGGACCAGTGGTGCTGCCACTATGACGAAGAGCGCGTCAGGGTCAACGGGAGCCGTGGTCACACTTGCCAAAGGCTCTGCAAATATGCCAGTCATGGGAACATCTAAAGGTGCAGTGGCGGGGACTTTGACCAAAGGGGGCAGCACATCATTGGTCAGTGCAGCCTCTCTAATCAGTGGAATGGCTGCTGCTGGGGCCAAGAGCACTCCAACTCTGTCTGGTAGTTACCATACTCAACCTACCATTGTGTTATTTACAGGGTTTTACTGATGTTGCTAATTTAATTTTTTTTTTCAGGTATGTTGAAGATTCATTCTGGAGGTTCCAGCTCTCCACAGACTGTTCTAACAATTCCGGCAAATCAACTTAAACAGCTGGGGGTTGGAACTGGGTCTGGGGGTCTGCAGACTCTCCTAATGCCTGTTGGTAAAGGTGAGGTCAATCATAAAGGCAATGTTGATTACATAAAAAAAACAACTTAGCGTTCAACATCAAAATACTGACATCTGACACTGAAAATACTGGTGGTATTTAAATGAAAAAAAAAAAACGTTGAAGTAAACCTAAATACACCACAACGTTGAGTGCAACGTACCAGTAAGTACAACCACATATGGTTTGACACAGATCCTGTAAATCCCATCATCCTCCCCTCTCACTGTTCATTAACTGTTAAGCCTATTTATCTAATGGCCCGGGGCTCATTGATCCGTCCTGAGTGTATCTGTTCTCTTCTCTGTGTAGTTGTGTCTAAAGGCACAGTCATCACTACTCCCTCCTCCTCCTCCTCCTCCTCTTCCAACACTCCTGGAGCACCTGGAGCTGGAGCCTCCCCAAGTCCTGCCATTCAGGCTGCCCCCTCCCTTGCTCTGCCCCTGGCACAAGGTGAGCAGGGTGCACTCCCCAGACACCCACTCCACCCAGTCTCCCATCTCCCATTTAATTCCACAGCCTTACTAACACATACTCTTGTTAATAATTAATTTTGGCTAATTCTGTGGTCAGTTTACCATCTGCTGTTTTATTTTCAGCTACCTTCTTGGAAAAACTCTCCTTCTTACATGTGTTGTGGTCAAAACTTACCATTGTCTCTAATATTAGCTCCTTCAATTGTTAGTTCTCAAATTATATGTACTTCCTTTTCATTGAGTTCGTAGTTTCTTGCTAATTAACTTTCTCAATTTAAGCCATCTTCTTAGCTAGCTATGATTTCTAACCGGGCTAACTTCTAACCTTTTCTCCTTCTCTCTGCTGTTTCAGTGAAGACAGAGCCAGGCACGGGCACAGCTGTCACAGCTGGACCCTCTCCTTTGGGGACAAACTCTGTCTCCTCATCTGTCCACGTGGCTTCTGCAGCCACAACAGTCAAACAAGAACAAGGAGCTGATAATTCTTCTCATGAACTCATCAAGTAAGTGTGAAATACCATGGTGTTCGTTTCACTATCAGATGAGTGTCTAACTTCACTGTGTTTCCTGGCTAACTCGTCTGTGGTTCCCTTCTCCTCAGCACGGATCACATAGAGACCATGATGCAGCTGCTGACGGCTGTGGTGAAGAAGTTTCCTCTGGTTGTTCCAGAGAAAAGTGTGTTGCCTTTTTTTCCATTTTTATTGCTTAAAAAATGATCTTCATCTATTAAAAAACATGGCCGTTTCTTTGTGCCTTCTGTGTGTGCAGCTGAAGACTCCCATCCATTCTGTGCCTCTTCAACTGAACAGTATTATTCATGGAACATTGGTAAACGCAGAGCGTCAGAGGTGATTTTTTTTTTCTTTTTTTTTTTTAATCCTTCCTTTCATGCAAAATAAAATTAAATGAGACAGTCTATTATACCAGGCATTTATTCCTCAGTTTCTTGAATCACAGAGCTTAATGTTACAGAGAATTTGCGTTGCATGCATCGTTGCCTCCGTTATCTGTCTTGCCGCTGCTTCCTGATTCCGCAGGGTTTTCGGTTCACTTTACCTCATGTCCCTGTGTCTTACTGCTGGGATGTGCAGCATTGATTGACTGTGTCCTTCAAGACTTTTCCAGTAGTTTTTCTCCTTTCTTTTTTAAAGATGGTAGAATTGTCAGACGCTGAGATATTATGCATATTTATATCTGCAGGCAGCAGGACAAAGACAGATGGCTGTATGGAGCTAAATGCTGCTGCTAGGTCCTAGCAGACACTGCAGCTGTTTCTCAGGTCTGACAGTTGACAGTTTTCTTCCTTGTGTGCAGCTGCAGCGAGCAGTGGCGGTGAAGCGACTCATCCAAGACGTGTTGGATCGCTCGCCCCGTTTGCAGGCCCTCACCCCACCGAAGACCAGGGAGGTGGTGCAGTGGTGCCGACAGAGGGGCTACACGCCACCTGACCCCGAGCCCCACCGCAAAAATGAGGACGAGTCCATTGAGGACATACTGACACAGATCGACAACGAACCAGGTGAGTCTGAGTCTGAAGTCGGACTTTGAGCCCTGAAGGAGGATCGTTTAGTACCAGTCCACCAGTTTCTGCTGGTGTTCTGCTGCAGCTGCCAGTCGGTCCAGTGTCATGATGTACACTTCAGACTGCAGACTCAGTGTCTTTTTTACTCCCAGTTCTTGTTGTTTTCACAGATATATTCATCTTGTCGTCTGTAAAGGCTGAGAGTTGCAGCAGCACAGCTCAGTGTAGACAGTAAAATAATTTGTTTGTGTCTGTTTTGTCTGCTTGTACACTGACATTTGTTATTGTCACTGCTGCCTGTGTAAAATCAGGTTCTTTTTACAAAGGAAAACCTTGTGAAGTTTCTCACCCAGACAAAGAAAACATCAAAAATGTAGTGTGACCAAAATACTAAAGTAGTTAATGTTCCTGTTCCACTGCTGACGCTGCTGCTGCAAAAACGCTGTGTTAAATATCGGTGTGATTGGTCTGCAGAGTGTCCGTCCACACTGGGCAGCAGCGAGGAGCTGGTGCTGCGACTGGAGCAGATGCAAGCGCTGCTGAAAACTGAACCGGAGGAGGCCGACGAGGAAATCGTGGACATCGTGACCGTGGTTCCTCCCAGCCAGAAGCTGAAGGTCAAAGAAGAGGAGCAAGAAGCTGACGCCGAGCCCAAATTCTACGTGGGCCCCTGTGTGTTGGCTCAGTTTGTCAGTGAAACAGCTCAGCAGGTGAGCAGACGGTGAAACTATCTGCTGCTTCAACTGTAGTAACCAGTTACCTAACATGTATTTATGTGGCTCGTACTCGTGTCTTTCAGATTGGCGTCAACTTTCCATCTGTGGAGGTGGAGAAGAACCTGTTTGCTCCAGTCATTGAAGCCATGATTCTTAAGGTTAGTAAAAAAAAAACATTTGAAGCTCAACATTGGAACTCTGTAGCTAGGAGACCTTCACTTGCATATTGTTGTGTTTAGTTTATCTGGTGCTGTTGAAGGCAGTGTGTTTTCTTTCCCTACTCTTCAGGCCACTGAACAGTTTGCCAGCGACGTCCTGAGAGAAGCTCTAGCTGTGGCCTACAGCAAATCTCCTCAGAACAGGTCAGGCTTTTCTTCTCTTGTCTTTCCATCAGAAACAGGAACACTGACAGCATGCTTCACTTACACTTGTGTTAACCCATGCAGTGAAGTCTTGTCTTGTTTCAAATACAGGACTTCGCTGCATTCATTTTGATACATATTTTTCCCTCCTCACATTCAGTCCTACATTATTAAACTCCAGCTGAACATGGGTTCTTATCAAACATTCCTGACACACTCTGAATCCTAATGTGGAATCACGTTGTCCTCCACAGGGCTCCCAGAGAGATCACAGCCATGAACATCCACCAGGCGGTCGGCAGCATCCCCACCTGTGACTTCCTCACTAACGCACACATGGGTTACCTGTCCAAAGACAACTGAAGACCACTGGAACTGTGGGGAACTGTAACAGGGTTGTCAGATTGACCCGGCCTCAAGTTGTGCAGTATTATCCCATGTACTGTATCCATTTACTCTAAAGATGTGCTGTGTGTGTACTCTCCACGAATAACTAATGGTTCTAATACTGCAGGAAATGTGCAACGTTTGACACACTGGGAATGGAGTCGTTACATTTTCAGAGGCTTTACTCAACAACATGATCATTAGAATGATGAGTGTTTCCTTGTGCAGCCTTCATTATGGGAGAGTGAAGGCTGATGGAGCTCTGGGGCTCAGTAACTGCAGCAGACAGCTGTCCTTCGCTGTCAGGAGACCTGAACAGATTTGTTCCACCAGCAGACGTGACACAGATTTACAGCCAGCCTCAAACACTAATGAACATCTGAGTGTCAGGCAACTGTCGGTGGTAACATTAACAACAAGGTCTGGTGAATGTTGTTCTATTGTTCAGTGCAGTCAACAAACTTCGACTTGACTGTTGTTCTCGCCGTTCTTTTTTTTTTTTTTTCAAATGAATCAAATGTTATTCTTTCCTCACTTAGTCAAAACACCAGTATTTGTCTTTTATTATTGTTATTATTATTATCAACAACCACCGTTCCTCGTCTGTCATAGTGTTTTAAACATTGAGTTTATTCAACACTCGTGTGTATTTATCAAAGAGTACGTGACCAGTGTAAAATAGACGTCTTTCAAATCCACTTTTATTTTTCTATTTGTATGTAATACCTTTGTGTGTGTGTGTGTGCGAACGGGAGTGTGTGAGAGAATGAAAGGTTTCGTTTGTGAATCTATTAAATGTGGAGCTTGGACGTTAGTGCATGTGTTGATCTCTGTTAGTGTAGAAGAAATTAAAAAAACAAAAATTAATATTCTTGTATTAAACAGAAAAAATAGTTTTTTACCAAACCTGACTCGTCTTTTAAAGTCAATGCAATCGGAGTCAAACGGACTCTTTATATTAGGTGCAGGTTTGAGGCCTCAGTTTTTTAACCCTAATAAAATCACGCCCAAAATGTTCCTACTCACAGTGATCGTCCTGGTTATGTCTATCATGATCCATGAGCGTTTTTGAATGGCCTCCAAAAATGTGACACTTTTAGGTCTCGTAGCTGGGACTATCAATAACAAATCCAAAAAAAACCCGAACATATAATTCCCTATTCTAGAACAGATAAATCCCAGCTGTAGCTTCCTGTTGTACTGCACTGACTGTTTGAATGAAGCAGCTACATGTTGTCCTTTTGGACTGTAATTCATCAGACACTGAGGAATCATAGACTGTACATATAGAAAGAACATAACTCTCCCTCAGCCCTCAGTTAAGTTTCTAAATGTACTTTATTCAATTTAAAATAAACTACATGCAGTGCAAGAGACTGGCCTCACTGTGGAGCAGTGGGTAGTGCGTTTGCCTTACAGCAAAGGAATCGCTTTGATCCCCTGTGGTTTACATGTTATCCCCTTGTCTGTGTGGGTTTCTCCACGTTCTGAATAGTTCTTTGTCTCCTTCCAGTAAAACACCACTGGGGCTTTAAATGGAAAAATGTCACACAGGAAAAAAAGACATCAGATTTAAAACAGTTTTTAGAATTGCTTTATGTATTTCTTTATTGTATTTACAGGACAAATGTAATAATTTTCTTTGCGATAGATTTTACAAAACGCCGTACAGTTCTCTCAGAAAACAGGAGATCTGTGAGAACAGAGGAAATAACCGTACGTTAGTTCATGCAGAGTTCTACAATAACACCGAAGCAAACCTCTTGTTATTCAGTTTAGGAGCCGACTCAGCAGTGTGTGTTTAAATGCATTTTCTCTGCATTAATGGGTAGTGTTCCATGTGCACACAGACACACAAAACACACACACGGCAAACTGCTTTTTTGCATCCATAAAAAAAAAATTAAACAATTCTGATTCATGCAAATTCAGTTCTACATCAACAGAGACAGAGGGGAGTGGTTTTTATTGTTGTTGTTGTTGTTGTTGGTGTTGACATCGTTGCTCTTCAGCCATTTGTGTCCTTGCATAGATTATTGTGTTGTGGAATGGACAAAAAGACTTGATTCGTTGAAGGTGGAGAAAGTCTATGTGGACTTATTTGTAAAATTTAAACCAGCCCTTAGATATTAAAAACCCTCGGTCCACTCTGAAAGACAGCTGAAGCATTTGGAGAAAGTTTGGTCTTGACCTGATGCTCCTGAAAAACAGAAGAAGAATAAATGGAGAGGGTGAAACAGCAGCCGCAGGATTAATGTGATCAGAGGGATAAAGGCAGAGAGGAGGAGCAGGAACATCAGAAGCCACGCTCACGGTCACTGCACCCATGAAATGAGAGGAGACGTGTCGGGCCGCGCCGTCAACAAACATCATCTGTGCTGTCAGAGAGGTCGTGCTATGTTTCTATTTCCTGCTCGGCGTTCTGCTGATGGCAGCTGTTCCGGGATGGAGCCTGACCAGAGAAATGTCCACATAGAAATGAAGTCACATTCCTCACATTTTATAGCTTGTATTGGACCTGCACAGCTCAGGGGAAAACTACGGTGTTTCACATTAAAGTGTGGCTGCATTTGTCAGAAAATCTATAGAGAAACTGCTCTTTCAACGGCTCTCTGGGGAATTTGTACAGCGCTGTAGGGGAAACCAGTTCACCTTGTTCCCAAAGTCATATTGGTTTGAGTCTGTCATCCTCACAGAAACAGTATTTCTGCTCCATAGGAAACTACATCTGTCCTTATCTAGGCCACGGAGATCTGCAGCAGGGACAGAGACAGGGTTTTTGGTTTTTGCTGAATGGCTGTGATGCTTGTTAGCACACATTACTGCAAATCTTAGCAAAAAGAAAAAAAAGTGCTTTTACCAACTTAAGTTGACTCTTAGCTGTCTTAGTGTAAATGTTTTATCGTTTAACTACCAAAATTAGCTCACCCTCATCTCTGATTATTGGAAGCCTTCCCAGGGGATAACTTTTAGCACATTGCTATGTATTTTAGGGATTACCTAGTGTGTTTAATTTTTTTTTTCACCCTGCTAGAGAGCCCTTGTGGAACAGGAATAAAATAGATATTCGATAAAAGAAAACTGAATACCTTGTGGAACAGGAATAAAATAGATATCATTCGATAAAAGAAAACTGAATTAAAAAAAATAAAATAATGGACTGCCCCGCTGCCAAACAACAAAAATAAAAATATGACGTGGACAGAAACATATTGTATATGTTTAGGCAAAGAAAGCTTATTGAGTTTGTTTGTTGGAGTTGAGCTATGAAATGAATGTCTCTTCCTCTCCCTGTCTTGTTTTTCTGCTCGTCTCTTTTCACTTAGCTTTTATTTTTCACTTTTGCTGCTCTTTAAACCAACCCTCCTCTCTGTGCCAGCCACAGTCCTGCCAAGTTGGCACAGATCAGCCCTCTTTAGTCCTGGGCAGCGTGGGAAAAGAGAGTTGGTCCAATAAAAGAGAGAAACAGAAAACAGAGACTGGCTCTGAGCGTGCTGATGTAACTGTGGTAAGTCAGTGAGGGGTGAATGAAAATACAATGAAAGTATGAGGACGGGAGTTAAAGATGTGGATTTAGAGTCTGTTCTGGGTCCAGAGGGAGACACTGGTGTTGTTAACATTTACAGCCATATAGAAGATTGTCTCTGACTGGACCTCTAATCTGGTCTAAGCCGGTTGATGATGGTCTGTACTATTTCAATAGACTTTCTGGCAGGTTTTCACGTGTGTCCTGCAGCTGTGTTCGTGAGTAGCTGCTCCAATGGAGGCAGGAGTTCTGCAGCTGAACACTGTGCTGACGGCATGTTCTTAACGTGCTGTGATCTCTGGCTCCGACTGAGCCAGAGATATTAATAGTCAAGAGTCTGTGTCCTGCCGTTGACATCGTGCACTTCTGCCTCCATCACCATCAACCAGAAAATGACTGACACAATAACGGAGCGGTGCTGTCGTTTCTAATGCAGCGTGTGCAAATATCGGTTTTTGCAATGATTACGTTTTCCTGCTGCTCTGGACTCAACAGAACGGAGACAAACAGAGAGATCATAAACTTCACTTACACAGTGTAAGGTTTCATTGTTTGTATGGTATAGTGATTAATGACACTCAAGCAGAGACACTAGCCTTGACCTGAACCTGCATTTGTCCGTCAGATTAGTTTAGAAAGTTTGGATCAGTGTTTAAAAACACAACACATTAACTTTGCCTACAATTTTAATGTAACTATACTTCTTTTTTTCTTTATCTTTGAACCCATCTGTAACTCGGACTACACATCTTCATGTCCTTTTTTGCCACTCAGATACGGAAACTTCACAGGCAAAAATAAAGTTCTGTATTAAATCGTTTCACTGCAGCTGGGATTAGAAAGGCATTGAATCCAAACATTGAATCACAACATCTTCATCTGGAGGTCTGTTTTATTTTTAGTGCAAAGTGGGCCACAACTGGAAGAATGAGCCTTTTCCAGTGCTTTTTTCTTCTCATCAAGTCTGTTCTATTCAGGTCAAAGTAATGAGTGTGACACCAGCAGCGTTACCTAACATGGTGCATGGCCTGTTTTAAAGCAGCTCGGTCACTTTGAGCTGCTCAGGGACAATATGCTGCATCACTTTTGCTGAAACATTCCAGCAGCATCAGGCCATCAGGGAGATGAGTGAAGAAAATGACTTTCAGGAGGAACATGTAGCGCCAAGAAAATGACTTTCAGGAGGAACATGTTGTAGCGCTTTTACTCAACCTGGTAAAATTGCAACAATTTTTAGGCACAGTAAGAAATGTAAGACTATTTCAGCCAGGATGCTGACGCCGCACTGTGGTGCAGCGTGTCTTTTGAAGAATGTGGCTGTCTTTTTCTTTCTTTTACCTCTCCTTTAATTCTTCCTCCAAGCTCCATCCTCTCAGGTGGGATGTTCTGCTGGAGGCTCGGGGGGCTGGATGAACGGACAGCAGGTAGTGCAGCGGCGATGGGCTGAGGGGCAGCAGCTGGTTGTGGGTTGGAAACAGCAGATGGAACCGTTTGTTCCCCCTGATGTAGCCCCGTGGACCGGTGCGTGTCTGAGCTGTAGGCAGCCTGGTAGCTGGTCCTACACTGGCTGTGGGCGGCCTCTGAGACTTGACTGAAGTACTCGGCCGGGGGATTTTTTCTCGCACTTTTGGCCGGTTTCGCCCCTGTCCATGGTCTGTACTCCTGCCTGGAGACAGAAAAGGGCATGAGAGGGTGGTGTAGCTCAGCAACAGAACAATTATTGTGGAATAAAATGAGGCTCGAGGGCCTTTGTAGGCATGTTTCCCCTGCAGGGAGAAAATGATTTTTGGATAGAATAAACCAGCTTTGCATTTTTACTGCAGGTTTCATAAATATATTAAAAATGACTGGTTCAGTGGGTTTTTATAAAGCTACTGTACTTTTTGGATTTTTTTCCACAGTGTTTGCAGCAGGTTCTTTGGTCAGTACCTGCTCTGTAGTCCCACTTGAGTACTTCCTTTAAACTTGAGTCGCAGGTACTATTTTTTAATGCTTTTTATCCAGTATTTTTCTGCAGCTTTCTGCAGTTGCTAACTCACAGACACAGGGAGGTGTGAGTCAACTTTTCGCCAGCCCTGAAGTTTGAGAAGCACTTTACCTCCTGCCCACACACACTTAAAATAAAATGGAAAGAAAATTTAAATATTTATATGAAACACTTTCTATCTATAAATAAAAAATAAGTCAGGGAATTGTTGATAGCCTCGTCCACATGCCCAAGCTCTTTCTTTTTTACAAACCGAGACTATATTCTTTTTATTTTTTTATTCTGAATGACGTGTTTCTTTCTCTGTGCACTGTGTTTTTGTTTATTGCAAAATAGCCGTAGTCCTTTTCCAGAGCAGACCTCAGAAGAGGTTGTCTAGAGGAGTGTTTCCCAAAAACTGGGTCAGGACCAACATTTGGAACACCAGAGATGTTTGTTTCATTAAACTTGCATTTTTGATTAGTTGGTTTGACTATCCATCTGCAGTAGATGTCCATGGTGAAAAATGGTTTATTCACTATAGTATTAAAGTCATATTAGTTACAGAACAAAAATGACTGTTATCACAATGGTTTTATATTCTTCAACTATTTGTCTAGATTATTAGGGGATTATAATAAAAAAACAATATCTGATGTCTGTCTCGTCAGTGGAACTATTTTCATATTTTTGTTCTTCAAAATTATTCCGTTTTTATTTCCAGGGCAAATAATTATCCTCTAAATGTTATCATCATCATCATTATTATTATTATGATTAAATAACAAAGACAATCCGATCTATTAGTTGGAGTAGTGAAACAGGGCTTCATTCCAGTTTTCACCAGTCAACATGCCAATGGGTCCATGGGCAAAACCTGCGATTAATTCTAAATGAAAATGACTAAAAGGATGTGGAAGTACTTAAGAACATCTTCAGGACTAGAAAGGTTTATTTAAGTACAGTTTATTCAAACATCAGCTCCCGCTGCTTTAATGTGTCACAGAGAGTCTCACCTGTAGCAGCTGGTTTTGTTCTCCTCCTGCTCCCCCAACCTCTGCTGGCCCCTGCCCCGCTCCCCTCTCTCCCCCGGGCTAGGGTGCGTGTTCACCGGACTGCCCGAAACCTTACTCCCTCCGTTACTGATCCAGGGGAAGTTCTCCTTCCTGGGAATGGGCCAGGGTTTGAAGTCCTGCTTGTACTGCGTTACCCCGGGGAAAGGCACTGGGGGCGGGTGGTAGTCTTCCCGGGGCTTATAGACGGGCTCCTTCCTCGCCCTGAACGATCCCCGGGCCCCTGCTCCATCTGCGGTTACCCGTGGGGAGCCGGTCCGTGTACGCGGTTCCGTGGCGGAGACCTGTTTGGTGATGGAGCGCACCTCCTGGTCGCTGATGTCGGAGTAGTTCTGGGTGGCGAGCGGGACCGAGAGGTCCGATTTGTCCAACTGGTTCCAGAAGCGAGCCAGGCAGCAGACTCTGGTGATACACGGCCAAGCCATGCCTCCAGAAAGACCATGTAAGAAGGAGGAGGAGGAGGAGAGGAGGAGGGAGAAAAAGGATCAAAAAGAGAAAATCATTACAATCACTTAGAAAGAGCAGCGTTCCTAGTCAGCTGAGAGAGTCCAGGAGACCATGTCAGCATCAGCAGCATCAGCATCAGCAGCAGAAATGAACTAGTGTGTGTGTATTTGTGTGTGTGTGTGAACATTCAGCTCACGTGGTCTCTACCCCTCCACTATGCAGGAAAATCTGTGTGAAAACATTCTGTCTGTTTCATCTCCATAACTGGATCCCAGGGGTCTACATCAGTGCAGGGTCTCAGTGGACCAGCATCAAACCCTCCAGATCCACAATCCAACCCAAGACCTAGAATCAAACCCTTGATCGAGCATAAAAACTGGGATCTAACATCAAACCCGAGACCCAGAATAAAAACCCAACATTGAACAATGGAATGGAGAAACACACACTCAGTACACCGTAGGAACTCCATTCATATGTCTGTGTTCAGGTTCTTGTCGAGTCAGTTTACAATGACTCACTGTTACCTATGAGCAGTTAAGGCTAGTGTTCGATGACCAACGTGTAACACACGTAATTAAATTGATTAACAATGGGATGAATTAAATATTTTAAGAAGCTTGCCGTGCGCACAAGTAGTTACACTTCTTCTTTCTGCACTAGAGTTACAACTCCATCTAGTGGACACTTTTTGACATTACTTTACACAATGCGTGTTTTTAGTTACATTTGAGTAGCGTTGGGTCTAACTATCATATTGTACTCCACTGCTAATAAAGAGACTATTAATTATAGTGCATTCTAGTGAAACAAATCGATGGGACAGTGTTTCATAACACGGCCATGTGGCCATGTTTATTCATTCATGCCCCGTCTATATGTAAAGACAACCAACAATTTACAGGCCCACTCTTTTCCATACAATTTTTCCAGGGTAGGTTTTTAAAAAAAATTATTTCACAGCATTCATTATGCGCTTTCTGCAAAATAACTCTGACTAATAACTTCAGTTATTAAACACCTGTAGTTGGTTTGCATGCGTGACATTAATACCCACGTTTCAAACTTCACATTATCCACATAATCACTCGTATTTGGTGCAAAAGCCTCTGCACTAACGCGTCAATCACAATATTATTGTTGACATTTCCAGCCTGGAGCGTTAACATGTACGAGTTGAACATTTCCGAAAGCAGTGTTGTCTTTGAAAGCAGCACGAGCGGATCACTCATACACTTTGATTCACGGAGCCAAATGTCTGTCCTCGGATGAACTTGTACAATGCTCCACAGCGCTTTGTCGGAAATAGTTTTCCTTAGGTCTGGAGTTTACTACTTGTAGTAAAGAAATAGTTTAAAATAGTCTGGAGTTTTGTGTTTGTTTGGTTTTCATGAACACGTGGACTTTCATTTCACACACCGGGAGTCCGTTTCTTGATGCCAGTAAAGAATCCTGAGACCACCGCTGGACATTTTAACACCCGAAACCCGAAAGTGTGTGAGTGTTTCCGTTCTATTATATAACTGAATTATCAGTCTACATTTCGTTCGCCAAACTCGTGCTCTTAACTCGTATCATACTTTTTATTGCACGGTAGTTTCCATTATGTGGGTGGAGCGTTGGTGTTGCAGCAGCAGTGCTCTGTGAAGAAAAGTGCAAGTTTGACATTATATATAGATACGGCTTTTTATTTTACAACGTGTCGTAATCGTCATAGATATGCAACAGTATTTCTTGCTGGAGTTGAGCAAAAGGTGCAGGACATGCCATTGTTCGTGTTATCTGTTCTCGATTGAGGGAGCCTTTACATGTAGTCGTGCACGAGCGCCACTCAGATTTCAACTCAGGCTTCCGGGAGCTAATTATTAATCAGCTGTTGTGAAACCGAAAAGCCAGAGTTGGACCTCTCCGGCTTCAGGAAATCAGAACATTTCCTAAATTTCCCGAAAGGAATTTCCAAGGGATTAAAAAAGTTCTATCTGTCTGTCTGGTCTGTCTGTCTGTCTGGTCTGTCTGTCTGTCTGGTCTGTCTGTGATTAACTTGGAGTTAATGTCACAGATGAGGCAGCAGATGATGTATTTCACCTGTGTTGACAAACACTACCTAAAGTCGAAACACGTGCTGGAGCACCTTTAGTTCGAACACACAACCGTCCGCGCATGCGCTAGTATCAGCTGTGGTGCGTTCAAGAACAAAAATCAAATCAAATCAACTGTTTTGGATAATGCTGTTGAGTTCACGTAAAAGTAAATCATGAATGCATTGAAACACATTTACACAATGATGTTTAGCTTTCAATTACTTTTATATTTTTTATATTAATATGAATTATTAGTATTATCAGTTTTGAAATCTTGTGTCAGTCAGAGCTAATCTCTTATGTATAATATTTAAATGGAAACATCCGGTTTTGACATGCAATAATGAAAATAAAAAAATAAACAGCATAAAAACATCAGTAGTGTTCAGTAATTTGACTGGTACTTTTGGTAACTCATTTATGTGTTGCAGGACGATGGACTACCTGCCAGACCACAACTCCAAGTACAAAGATGTTGAATACTGGGATGATCGATACACAACGGAGGAGAGTTATGATTGGTTGGGCACTTTGTCCAAATTCCAGCACATTCTTGAAGAACATATGAAGAAGGAAGACAGCATTTTGATACTTGGTGAGTGCTTGTGTACTTACCTGTTCTACAGCTTCTGGTCAGTATCCATCCATCCATCCATCCATCCATCCATCCATCCATCCATTCATCTATTGTCTTCCTCTTCTTAGTGTTATTATTATTATCTTCATCATCATTATCATTGTCATCATCATTATTATCATCATTTTTATTAATAGTGGTAGTAGTAATAATAAGTGACTTGCTTATTCTTATCAACACTTGGATCAGCGTTTGTAGTAAAAGTGGACCTACCATAATATCTCTACACAATGTAAATAAATTGGTAACAGCACGGGAAGCAGTCAAAATAAGAGAGAATTACACAGAGCTTCAGCTGTTATATTATATATAAAACAGATTTGTTACAAAGTCACAGTACAATTTATGTAACTTGTAGATAACGTGTCAGTGACTAAAGGCCTCAGTTTACCTGTTGTTCCTTTGCAGCATAATTAATAATTAATCTGCATACATCAATACGACAGAAGCAATTAATAACTCTTCCACTAGGTAGCAGCAGATGGCTATAACTTGAAAAAAAAGAGAGATTTATAGTTGTTGAAGATCTTCGTGTGTCTTTCATCGTTGGTGCTAGTCTGTTCAACTAAACAGGCCCAGATTTTATATCGCATTAGTATAGTAGTATATAATATAGTACATTATAAATATTCCAGATTTTTGAATATTTTTGAATGTAGACTATACACCGTGACTCCTAAAAGGAAACGTCGCCGAGTCTTGAGCTGACATGTCCGCCAATGCCCACCAGGTGGCGCTATTTGCTTAAAAATGAACACCGTTTGTGCGGCACCTGCAATACCTTTGGTACGGCCTTGCAGCTCGGTTAAATGTGCTATAAAAACATTTGATGCATGAGAAGTGATTTCACCAAGGGAACCGGAGCTGCATAAATCTTAGAGCAGCTGCTGTAACTATGAACACACACCATCCTCGTCCGTTCTCCCTGTTTTCATATGCAATCTACCAAAGGGTGAGGGTGTATCTGTGGGTAGTGTGTGTTGTTGGTTCATATTTTATCCTCTCTGCTACTGTATGGAGTTCATAAAAGTTTAGAGCCATCGTTTTGGTATGATTACCGTTGATGGACCGGTCTTGAGTTTGTTAGCAAAGTTTAAAAAGATCTTCTTCCCCCAAACACATAGAAGCAATAAAAATACATGCAGCAGTGTGTGTGAACTTTTGTTTTGGTGCTAATGAATAGACATCCTAATTTTACCCGGAGGTCCTCCTCTGTTAACGTGCACAGAGGTCAGTCTGCTGACCTCCCTGCTTCTTCAAAACTGTATAATTAAGCATCAAGTCAGACTGACTTTTTAAAAATCTGCGTCACAGGCACACCTACAGCAGAGGCGTGAGTGGACTCGGAGATTGTGGAGTCTGATGTTTAAAACATTTTCTCACTCACTTCTGCATTACACTGCAGCACACAACACGGGAGCCGACCACACTCTGCACACTGATTTGTTCCTGAAGGAGAGCCATTATATCGCCTGAGAGTTCCTATCTCCGAGGGCATCTCTCTCTGTCTCTCTCTCACTCTCTCTCTGTCTCTTCCATTCTCCCCCACTGGCTCTCTCTCTCTCTCTCCATATCCATCTCTTTTCACTAAATCGAGGAATCACATGTTTCTGTCACCAGCACGTGTTGTTGCTGTCCTTCTCAACAACACACAGGCAGAGATGAAAGAGCTATAAAAGGAAGCCCACTGTAAAGATGCGTGAACCCTCACGTGTTGTATGAGAAGCACTTAAACATCACCATCCACCGACACTTGCACACACGACCCGGCGTCGCTGTCATGTCTGTGAAGCCGTGTGAAGTGACACAGTACATTATCGTCAACAGCTCTGTGTGACCTGGGCCTGGGGGAGAACGGGGAGGAGCGAGGATGTAAGGGAAGATTCTCTGTGTGTGTGTGTGTGTGTGTGTGTGAGGGAGATGAGTGGTCAGTGGAAAGAGAGATGGAAGCGCAGCTAAATTACTAATCTAGTTTGGGCCACTCAGCTGCCTCCAGTGGAGGTCATTTCCATTAAGATAATCTAAGCAGTGCAGAGAACAGAGGAAGAGGTGCAGCGATGACGAGACGTCTAATGCCTTCCTGCACACTGATGACACTTTTAATGTCCTTCCACTTCCTCTGGCTGTCATGGTGTATTTATCCAATCTTGTTGCAGCCTTTACCCTGCATTGATCTTTACATGTTTCACATCTCATTTGGGTGACGCTCCCTCAGCCTCCTTTTATATTTACCTGTTTTCTGTGAACACCAACTCTCTCTCCCACTTAAATCTCATATTATTCATATTTCATTTTGGTTATTATGTAAGGATGGAGCTTTAAAAAGACATGCAGTATTGATCTTTGATGTGGTGCTGATGGAAATCATTTATAATGGCATCAAGCGTTTACTGTAGAAGCAGCTCTGCCCACCAGACGCCCACTTCAGCCAAGTGCTCTCATTAGTTGTTGTTTATGTTTAAGTAACACAGAAACTTCATTTGCAGATACATTCAGTAAAGACCGAAATCCTTTTCAGTATGGCAGGGGATTCGATCCCAGCAGTCAACAGACACGTCAACATACATCCAACATGTGGTTGCCAATAAAAATTATGAGGTGAAATGTGATATATTTCTTTAAGGAAGTCAAACATTCAGTAACACACAGGGGCTTTCTCAACATGAACAATATTAACATTAGCGTGCATATTATTAATTTGCATTTAATTAATATAGCAGAAAAAGCAATTGGCCAAAATTAAAATATTTATTAAAACAAAATGTATATTTAAAGTTCTTGAATTAAGGGGGCAGTTGTGGCTTGGTGTTTAAGAACGTGGACGTGGGTCCAGAAGGGTTCAGGTTCGAGTCCACCAGCAGCCAAGTTACCACTGAGGTGCTCTGAATATGTCACCGTGTGATATATTTCTTTAAGGAAGTCAAACATTCATTCATACATTCATTCGTTGTGTTCAGTGGTGTGTTAACTAACTAACTAACTAACTAACTAACTAACTAACTAACTAACTATCCTGGTCTTAGTCTGATGATAATGTATAACTAATTGCTAACTAATCTAATCATTATGTGATACCTATACTCATAACTCGTCTGCGTGGTAAGCTGCGGTGAGGTGTGTCACAGCATTGCGTCAAGCGGACACTGACACACACACATCTGACCCTCATGTGCGTTAGCAGAGATCAACTTGCACCAGGTTCACTTGGCTCCTGCTGCTCAGCCAGGAATATTTCCTTAATGGCCTGCTCTGGGCTATAGCCAGTGATGTAATGACGCCACGTCTCCCAGTGGTCAGTACTCATGCCTCCTTCCCTTAGGAACGGCCTGGTGATGTAATGGCTCTGCTCTCCTGCAGTGTGTCGGTTTGAATTTGTGTACTAGGTGGACCTGGTTCCTCTCCTATTCTTTCAACGTTAACATCTGTGCCCCGCAGATTTACAGGCTGCACTGTAAAAAATAGAAATGAAATAAATGTTGCTACTTGGGTCGTCTCACATCATGTTTCCCAGGAGTTTCCGAATAATGTCTATTGACTTCGGTCGTGAAGGTTTGTGACTTTTAAAATATCGGTCCACAGAAAAATAGTTTGGGAAACACTGGTATAGAGTATACATATATATATATTTATGTATGTAAAGTCTGGTCCCAGACTGCACTGCTCCATACTGTTTTACCTCAGTCTTTTTCCCCCTGACTCTCTCAGATCTCCTGTCTTGGCCTTTGTCTGTGTGTGTGGGTATTTAGTGTTAAAATCTTCCAGCTTTTATTTTCTGTGCCAGTCTGGTTATAAATAGCTGCAGCAGAGGTGTTTACGACAGTGCTGGGAGCTGTGGGAGTCCACTGTCTGCTAAAGGGATATTAAGATGACTTACAATAGTCAACGCCGTTGTTTGAACTTTGTCATACAGTTTATGTACAGCCCGTAGTGTTTGTGTTTAATATTTAATGTTTGTTTTTTCGTGGCAGTGTTTAAAGCTTCGTGGCCAAGTTGGTGCAGTTGTGGACAAACCGTTTTGGATGTTTAAATTGAGCTCAGATCAGATACCCTGTTGAATTAACATTTATTTCTGGACATGATTTCCTGCCTGGTTTCCTTTGCCTTAAAGGTGTTCCTGCAGACTCTCCCTTCTCCTCACCCCTTTCTAAAAGTTCCAAACATCCTGATCTTCATCTATGTTCCTGTCCTGTTCTGTTTCCCCACATTGGGAAATACAATAGCAGCATTATTAGCTTCAATACCACTAACAAAAACCCTTTATGAAGATGTAATTGAAGCGAGACCGAGCCTTCGGCCGTTTCCACTCTTTTCCACTGTCTTTCCTCTTATTGATTGCAGCTCTTCCCTCTTGTGTTGGCTGGAGGAGCAGCGTATCCACCACCGTCCTCCCTGTCACTGCTGCTGTCCAGCTAATTCACATCACCGTGTATATGGATGCAGTAGTTTGATATATGTTGAAAAGTAAACAAGAAATTCTTCAATTCTCTGCAGTGTATTCTGGCCTGTTAAAGTTAAATACACACCTGCCTGTACTCAGTACTGGGAGTGTTGACCTAAGAGTAGTAAAACATCTGCAATAGGAGAGTGTGTCTTTTACTATGAATGGATGCATCGATGAATGAATGAGTGAGAGGGTGGAGTGAGTAGCCTGAGGCTGACAAATCTCTGTTTCCCCATCTTCGTCTTCGTCCCCCCTCCTCCCATCTTCTCAGAATACAGATTGGCTGTTTTCAGTTTTCCGGGAGCCCTCAGCGTGCAGCAGTCACTAAGTCAGTAGGGGCAACCCTCCCTTCTCCCCATCATCTTCTCATGGCTCTCCGTCCCTCCCCTTCTTCCTCCCTGCCTTTTGCCGCTGTAAGGAGTGGTGGTGTTTATGAATGAGCCTCGCAGCCGCAGAATGTGAATGAAAAATAAGACGGGGAGCGAGCAGTTGAGGGGGGGGGGGTCTGATTTAGGGG